CTATTGGCCCTGTTGTGTATCTTCCCGCCTTTTCAAAATCTGATTTAGAGAAAAAGCCAGGAGGTCATGATATATATTTTTTTTTGAAGCACTATATACTTCGTGTAGACCCTGCCGCTCGTGTCTACCACGTATATACGACTTAATTGATTGAGACACTCAATTCGGTGTTGAAAATCCTGCGGTACTGTAAACTTATTAAAAAAAGGATCAGTTTTTTAAAAACCTACTTGTAATTATATTTCAACTGTATTAACTTGAGCCTGAATATATATGTATATAAACATACAAAGTTGTATATCTTTAAGTTACGACAATCTTAGAGAGACGGCACCATCACTACGTAGTGTAGAACGATAGGATTAAGCATTTCCAATCCTTCAAAGAGATGTATTTACGGTCGAATAATAATTTTTAGCAAGGTTTTAAACCTTTCACAGGTTTCAAATAAATATATTGTTAGTTATATAATAAAAATCTAAGTCTATGCTTTCTGAAGCCTTTGTTTATGTTCTTTTTGTTTATATTGTACATCATAGTTATGTAACAGTTTGGCTGTAGAGAAAAAAATTCCCTTACAAGACAAATTCGTATAAAATTAACAAAAATATATTTTAAATTTATAATACTATTTCTTATATAAATATTGCGAAGATTACAATTTAAACGTTGTTTCTTGAATATTAATTTGACATGTACATATGAAAATGCTTTATTCGAATATTAGATCAGTATTACACTGTCTCAACGTAGGAATCATATCTTTATATTTAAAAACATTTATTTAAAAATATCCAAATCAAATCTGCAATTTAAACGATTTAGGAAGATAAAACAACGATATTTTTTTTTAAGCTAATATGCCTTTAATTTTTTTTTAGATCCGACTTAAATGAAAAATGCCGCACACGTCTTGATGCTTAAATCCCATGAGTTTTCGAGCGATCTCTCAGTTCCAAATATTGGCTTTTCAACAAGCTTACAAATAGCCCTCGTAGGTAGCATAGAATACTTTGAATATATTTCCTATCAAAAACTTTTTCTTTCACTTCTAAGTGTAAATTCTCTGAAACTTTACTTAGTAGGATAAATGATTTAGTTAAAATAAACCAAATTACTCGAAATTCCACCATACGTTTGGCCAAATTCTGTATTTAAAACCGTTACAGTCACTTTTCATTGTATAAATACAAACTATTATCTAAAAGTATGCTTTGATATAGTTACAGAGAACCGATTAGAAAAGGTAAGAAGATGCAATAGTAGGGAAGGTAAGAAATTAGTAATGCATTAATATATCTAAAATTTGTAATGAATCAATAGGTATTTCTGTAATTGTATTGAACTTTAAACCGTCATAAAAACATAAGATATTGATAATTTAATACGATATACCAAAAGGTATGTTGCAACATTATTGAGATGAGTGAAATATTAAAATCTTTAAAGTACATACTGTCTCTTATGACTTTATTTCACCTTCTTATATTATAAATTTAATTGTTTTTTTGTTTTTCTTACTTTTATTATATATATATATATATATATTGAAACAAACAGTAACTGAGTAATATTAAATGAGAACCATAAATTAAATATTAACAATAAGTTTGTAATGAGGAATTTATATCTAAGAACTTTGTTTGAAATTTTTAATCCGATATTTTGGACTCATAAAAGGCAACCACTAGTTAAAACGTAATTATAAACAAATCATTTTATTCTTATATAGATTTCACTTTATCTTTGGCCTAAATTTATTCTTTTTTAAACCACTTGTCCTATATACAAACGCACAATAGACTTGCAGTTAACTCAAAAACTTGAGACAAAGAGGAAACTTTTATTATTGTGTAATAGCAGTCTTGTGGTTATGATTTTACACATATTTTTTGCAGAATAATAAGAAACAAATGTTCCATGAGAAACAAAATAATAGTATTAGGTTATGACAATTGGTTTTCATACCCTGGTTATTGGTCATAAAATTCTTTTATATTCTTTTTTTGACACTGGAACACTTACAGGCGTTCTCTGAACAACCTCTCGAAGCTTATCTACTGAAATGTACTTAACTTCTGTTTCGAAACTGATAGAGGAATACATTTGTATGTGTATCACTTTTTATACACCTTTTATTTCTGTCAAAATCAGTAACACTTTTTAAAATGATTTTTAAAATCATTTAATTATCTGTAATATCTAACGTTTTAAGTCTAAAATATTCCTTGACTGGGAGTAGGTAACCATAAAAATAGTATATCTATATAAAAAATATTATGAAAAAAACTAAATACGAAAATCAAAAGAAAAGAACAAAAGTTTAAAGATATTAAGTAATTTTGTTATCCCATTATTTTATAATATATTTTCGAACTTAGCTTCATAAGACATTGTTATGGCGTATTCCTTTATCGTTTAGCCTTTAACTTACAAAAACGCTATACTTGTGTCTACGTTTAGGTTTGACACGGTGTGAAATGTAGTAGTTACTGAAAATATTACAATTAGAAAGTGTACTGAAATTAAAATTACTAGTTTTAATAATCGAGTAATGCATTCATGTATACATACCATTTAAAACTATTATTTCATGAGTGTAAATCCAACAGATTAAAATGGAACTGCATATAGGATTTAAAACCTTTTAAATGGTATGAAGTCATTAAAACACAATTTTCTATTATTTACGTCACTTCATAGACACTTTGTGAAATTTAAAGAACTCAAACTAAAGACTTTAAAAAGCATAAAACTACATTATTTTTTGTGATTCTAATAGTATCATTCTATAAAGACACTCACAACCCCAGTTTTACAATAGACAATATGGCTGACTTTACCTCAAAACTTATTCCCCAAATGATCGTTTTAGTCTGAACCCTTCGTATATGACACAGAAATTGGATTTTGTAATATTATAAGCCCCAGTACTAAAACAAATACTAGTCAACTATTATAATTAATAGTTGCCAAGATAAAGCTAATATTTGCTAAGGAATTAATTGTATGCCTTGTGTAAATTTGCATCGGCATTGAGAACGATAAGATTTTTCATTTATTATACAATATGCACTAAGATTTATAAGTGAGAAAATTTAAAACTGACAATATTTACGTCAACGTTACATAATTCTTATTAGTCAAGTTTGATCGTATATGTCTTTATGTAATTAGGATTCGATTTTTCAAATTATTTCCGTCAATGATAAAGTTAGTTTTCTTTTCATTTCTTAAAAAATATTCCGGCGATTAATGTAACTAGTTTTACGCGGAATGACAATATATTAATGAAAACAGTTTCTATGGAATGGATTGACAGACAACAGGTATCCTATTGGTATTAAATGTTTTTTTTAATTACAGTTTTTAATACAATCTTGTATTACCTTTCAATGTTATAGTATTAATCGTAAGGTTTTCAGGAACCGCTTTTTTATCCAAACTAATAAATACAATCCAAGTGTTTGTCTGAATTTGCAAAATAATAGGTTTACACTATTAAAAACTTTTGTTAAATCGTCGGTCTTTCTGTTTATTCCTACGAATCTTTGGAACAACTGAACCTATATTTAGGGGATTTTAACTCGTACGTAGATATCTAAGAGGATTTACAATACCGCAGAAGCAACTGACAACAAAAGGTGTATTAAATATCGATAAAATATACCAAATTTTTTCACAAATATATATTTCCCCTTAGTTATTGATATCTGTCGAATATACTCCGAATTATTATAATTTTACTCAACGTGTCACGGAAAAACTACTTGAAAGTATCTGTCAGTTAGTGTAGTTACTCGCGACTACTGTCAACGACTTCTGAATTTCCTTGGATACTGATTTGGAAACACGAAGAATATGCTAATTGAGCTTGAGACTTGGTAATTTTGTCGCCGATATTGGAATTTATATTTTTCATGAGGAGATATCAGTTGCTAAATGGCTAGTCATCTTCTCTATTAAAATTAATATGTTATATATTTATTTTTAATAATCTATCGGATGTATTTGAAATATTTTTGTCTTCAAGAGCAATCTTTGGTGAAAAATAACAAAAAAATATTATAACATATGCCTTGTAAAGTCTAAACAGTTGTGCATTAAATCAAAATGGTAATTTATGATATTATTAAAATAAATAAATAAATTTTAAGTCAAATTTACTACCTACCATTATACAGTTTTTATATTATAGTTTTATAAAGGGGAAGGAATTATAAAACAATTGAATTTCGTCCCAATAGTGTGTTAAATAATTTTAAAATTGCCAATAAAAATAAAAATTATAAAATTAAATGACACACTACATTTTGAAAACTGAATTAGGTACTGAATTTTGCATTACATTTTCGCTATTTCATTGCTGGAATGAAATTTTGAAACCATTTAAACTTATTTCAGAACAAAAGATGAAGACGGATTGTAAATAAGCTGCTATTAGTTTAGGTGCGAAGCGCGTCGTCTGGGAGAATCTTTGCAGCTCACTTGCCACAGACATTTTAATTAGTAGCTTTGAAAAGGCATTGTCAAAACTTACTTGCTAACTTTGATAAAATAACTTCAGAGTACTCGTAATGTACTCGTATTATGGAAATCACTTCCTTTTATAAAATATATGTTTTAGTAATTTGTGATTTTTGGATTATGAATAGATTATTACTTTTTAATGCTAATGATAAATGGATTGGCTACAATTGATACATGATTACAATTATCTTCACCAGTAGTAGATAACAAAATACTTTTTTTGTATTTTATAAATAAAAAGATATTTTAATAATTTATAAGAATTCTTGTTGACAATTTATTATTTAGGGCGTTTAATAGAAAAAATTTTAATTTGTCATTACATTTAAATGAAACTAATATTTTCGGATTTAACTTCGCGTTTTATTTTAGAAACTACATACTCCCGACGTTTCGGCTACTTTTCAGCAACCGTGATCACGGGCAGACGAGATGTGAGTGTCTGTCAGTTGGTCTGGTCAATTTATCTCCTACCGCCATCGATTTCTTAATTGTCTTGCGTACCGCTCTGGATGCCGGCAAAATGCGCTCACGGTGTCTTGAGGTCCTGCGGTGTGGTCACGGACATGGGATTTCATATTTTTAAGAAGAGGATCCCAGGTGTTTGATAGGTTCCAGCCATCTTCTCTATTGAAATTTGGGTGTTTTTTAATTTCAATAGCCTCGCGGATTAACCTTGGTATATATCTGTCTTCACGAGCGAGGATCTGTGGTTTATCAAATTTAATGTAATGGCCTGGTTTGTCCAATGCATGTTCGCACACTGCTGACTTCGACGCGCGCCTATTCCTGACGTCTGAAACGTGTTCCTTAACCCTTGTACCGATGCTTCTCTTTGTCTGTCCGATGTATGACAAGCCACAGTCACAATCAAGTTTATATACACCCGCTTGTTGTAAAGGAATGTTACTCTTGATTGGTCTCAAGAATTGGCTCACTTTCTTATGTGGTTTATAAATAGTCTTGATTGAAACCTTCTTCAAGATGTTGCCTATTCTGTCAGTAACTCCCTTTACATATGGTAGAATTGCATAATTGTCTTTACATTATAATATAAATAAATATATACCAACAGTTACAAGTTGTATTACTTTTAATTCATTTAAATTTAGAGCCTAAAAATTAATTATTTCAATCTGTTTTTATGGTAATTATTAAAATTCATGTGTTCGTTTTGAATTGCCACACATATGAGTTGATTCTTAAGAATTCTTGACAAGTCTAATACTAAGCTGTTATTAAAAAATTTAATACTCTATTTCTTGTTTATATGAACAAGACGTTCCAAAAGTAAATTGTCTTGTTTATTTTATTAACAATCAGGTTACAATTGACATGGTAATTTTGACATTTCCCGCTTAAATTAACTCCTTATGTACTATTCTATAAATATAGAAACACTCAATTATTTGATTATGGAAAGTTGAGCAGAATTAAAACAATGTAATAAAACGAGAATCGCTCGATTATGGGTCTGCGGACCATTTATCAAGCGACCGCTGCAGAAGTTTCATGAAAAGAGTTTGCAAAGTATACCCCTGTGTCAACCTCCTAAGATTTATGGTGACCCTGGCTTAGAGAACGTTCACTTTATTGCATTGTTTCTGATTATTAACCTAATATTTAATTCATCAGCTATAAATATGTGTATTTTAAAATACTATTTCATTCGAACATGGAAGATTTAACCTATATAAAGTGGAATAAAATTAATATCTTACTTTTCCAAATTATTATATTATGTAATGTATTTTTTCAATTTTGGCATACAAATATAAGAGCTAGAACTTAACGTTGGAATACGAAAGATAAATATAGACCTTAATAATACTATTTAAAAACCTTTGGAGTCGTTACCAGAGTAGATTAACGCTAAAAAGAAATTGATTTTAGTACAGGGTTCTTGGTATTATCTATTTATGATTAAGTTCAAAACGGATGGACGGAACGGACTTCTGTATGATCTATTACTAAAAGTCTTTGCTTTATTCGCAATTGCATAATTTTCAGTACCTATTCATAACAATATATTTATTGTCAGTTGTGCAATATGAACACAGTATTTACGAGTACATTACAATAAACACACAAATACAAAACTTGTTCTATAAATGGCTTTAATGTGACCCCAAATAAAAGTTATAACAGATATAATTAATAATATTATAGGAACTGAAAACGAAATTTAATCATGTCTAATATGTCTATAAATTAGAAATATATACATTTCCTAGTGAAGTCAACAGTATTTAGTATAAGCAATGTGTTTTTCAACAATTTTATCTTTAACTGATAGAGGATTCTGTGAGATTAGTTGGCTATGTGAGACATGTCTCGAAGTTCTCTCCTGGGACTTGAGTTCTTAGCACAATTTCATGTTTGTTGTGGACGTCCTTTGTGAAGTTACCTCTTCACTGGACATTGTAGCTAACAATGAGGATTCCAAATAAGTTCGAAATCATTATCCAGAAATTCCCTTTTTGTAACATACTATACATCATAGCGACATGGTAAATAGTATTTGAAAATACTTTGAAATAAATTTTATCTATCCATATCGGAATGTGACTTTAAATTTTCTTTAATATATTATTCACTGTTAAAAAATTTACAATTTTCTTTAAGTAATAATTTGCTATTCTTTAATTTTTTATATGTTTTTTGCTAATAGGATGATTTACTATTTAAATGGTGGTAGATCATATCATCATACATGTATTTATAAGTTTTAAATTCTGTATTTTTGACAACACTATTAATTTTAAAAAAATTAAGAAGATTTGAATTATTTTAGTAACTGTGTTAATTAAATTTTATTAATTAATTAAATTAAATCTTATTCATTTGTCTGACACGTGAACATTTTGACCGAGTATATCACAACCTTCTTTTTAACCTACAGATACATCAATAAAATATTACCACCAGAAATAACTCAAGAATAATATAATAAGATTAAATTACATTGTAGAATATAACGTAAGCTGATCTTAGCAAAGCTTGCTTTGTTGGAGTTTTGAAAGTAACTTACAAAGTCCAACAAGCCAAGCTTATTATTTTAGTTATCGAGAAATGCAAATTTCCTGCATGTGATTCCTGGCCTCGACACATGTAAAGATATATATAGAAAATAATAATTTAGGGAAGGAATAACAGTGTCTGAAATTAAACCGAATTTTTAGATTGAGATTATTGATTTTAATTGAAATTTCAGAAACTATTATTATCATTCAATACAAAAAAATTATACCAATTTACCGCTGGCTTTTCCTTCATATTCAGTAAGGTAAAACAAAAAACATTTCATGTATATTAAATATTATAAGAAAATATTTTTAGAAAATCAATAGAGCATATTTTTTTAAATGTTTAGACTTAAATCAGGAAAGTTATATTAAAAAAGGGCATATGGTGTTCCAGCTAATAATAATCAAACTTTGTAGTCTATTAACTAGAAAAAACATAGATAGAATAAAAATGGTTAAATTCAGTACTTTGTTACTTTTGAGATAACAATACATTCAATTTTTTTTTTTAAAATATATATTTATTATATCCTTACAAATAAATCGAATTGGAGTGGTTTTGGTACTTTCACATACTGCCTTTTGATAAATGAAAATAAATATACTAAAATGTCATTTGTAATGATTTTTGTCTGTCTGTTTTTTAAAGATTGATGTTTGAAACCACTGATTTCGTTCTTTAAAAAACTTTAATTTATTTTATCATACAAACCTTGCACAAGTTACCTATAATTTATTATCAATATAAAATTATATTAATGTTCACTATACTGTAATTACAATAGAAAAGATACTTATCTAAGCCAAAATAATAATTCTAAAATGATTATTTGTCTTGGTTTTTTATGGACATACATTTCTTTCTAAACAACTCCTCATGAATAGGAATTGAAAGCTGGGAATGCCGTAAATTTGTAAAAGGATAATTTTTTTTTCAATATATTTAAAACCAATAAAATGGCTAAGCTGTAGGAATCAAATCATGAGGAATATACGTGGCTTGAAAAAATACTAAAAGTTTATTATCTCCTATTCACAGTGTGCATCTAAACTTCCGTTTACTTGGTTAATATTTATTTTTTTCTAATTTTAAATCACATATGAATTTAGTGAATAATCTTCCTAATATTATAAGAGTTAAATTTTATGCTAATGTCCATACATTATATACATCCATACGTATATTTGGTGCTCGTTTATACAAAAAATTGATTTCCATGAAAGTTTTAAGTATCGAAAGTTAAATGTCGAAATAATGTGAAGACCACAATTAATACTCGAAATCGGCTTTGTTCATGCGGGATCGCGGTAAAACAGTTGTATTTTGTATGAAGTCATATGCCACAGATTTATTGATGTTACTGCTAGTTCGTTATAATATCTATTGTTTTAACTTGTACATTTCTCTCTGAGCATAATACCAAAGTTGTCGCTGGCAACATCCAGTACTTGTTATACATAATTATGTAAAGACTTAAGTAGCTGTCAATTTCTTACATAAAATGAACACGATATTGTTTCTTTTTGCTTCATGTTAATACATAGCTTATTAAGCCAATCTTTATGGAATAAAAACAAAACAAAACAAGATACCAATATTTTTCGTTACAAATAAAAAATTCTTGAAAAATATCCAGTGAGCAAAATTTGGCAGCAATCAATATTAATTAAATGTATTTTGAACCAAGTGAGATATTAAAAATAGATACAGATTCTATATTGAGATAAAGCTCCGGATCTGATTTACTCGATAAAACGAACCATCATTTTTAAACATATGATTAACAAATGTGTGTGTAATTAATAGATTAAATTTTAATAAATTTGTACGCATGCTATTTTTTTTTTATGTGAAAGGTTGCAAACGAGCTGACGGCCTCCTTGATGGGCAGGAGTCACCGTCGCTCATGGACATCTGCAACATAGATGTTGCGGATGCTTTGCCAACCTTAGTTGTTAAGGAAAAGGGAGGGGTAGGAATAAGCAAATTTTAGGAAAGGGTGGGAACAGGAAAATGGCAACCGGCTCTCTCACTCACCAGACGAAACGCACCCATTAAAGGCTACTTTACGCCGACCTTCTGTGAGAGGGTTGTACTTCCCCGGTCGAGCCAGCCCATGTTTGAGCTGTAGTAATTTGACCACAGCTAGGCTCTACCACCTAAAAATGTACCATTGAATATGCCAATCTATGTATTTGCGTTGCAATAACACATATATTATGTAGTATTCAGTCATAGCAGCACAGTTTTTAGGAGTTGTATTTCTGAAAGAAGGCTTGCAACTTCTTCTAACTTCTTGTAGGCTAGTAACAATAAAAAGTAGCATTTGATTTATCTAAAAGGTTCATTTTAACTTAAAACGAAGCAGCAGAATGAATTTCATCGATGTCTAAAATTTTCCTTTTTAAGTCTTAAAAATTTTCTTTAGGGCAGAACTACAGTAAACGTAATAATTTTTTTATTAATACTTATAATTAACCACAATGATATGCTCTCTTCGAACCTTAACGATGCTCACATGTTCACGTTTTGCTCCAAGTCCATTGTATGCAGGTATATCAACGCTAATTTATGTTTCCAAAATCAAGGGAAAAACAATTTCAATAAAAAATCTCCTTTTTTACCGTCAATTGAATGCGAATCAAATACAAATTCAATTATAAATTAAACGCGTAATGAAATACAAATATAATTAATTAAATGAAGACTCCTTGCTCTTTTATTAATAAATTAATGTATAACAATTTTCTACTTATGTTTACATTTTTACATCCTTTTTACGTTTTTTTACATCTATTTTTTAAAGTACCAACTCTTTTTTTATTCTACATCCCTTAAGTTATGTAGTAAAAAATGAGATTAAACATTAAGCTCGCCTTTTTAGCAATATTTGTATATTTGCAAAAGAAGCTGTATTAATAATAAAAAGAAAACCTATTTAAGTTTCCTTTTAATTTATTAATTTTAATTAAACAAAAAATAATAATTAAAGAAACGAAAGACTTAAATGATTAAACACAACCTATACATAATATACAGTACAACTATTACAAAGCGACAAAGATACGGCTAATCTTTTTATCACATTCAAATAAACTTCAATACAAATTGACATCAGCATTAACTTCGTTTTAATACGTTATCGATTAGGTAAACAATTGATTTTATTTAATCCTTGTACCTTCAAATATTGTACAATGTTGCATTTTATCTACCCAATCGTGTATAAAAAGTATATTTATAATGGGAACTTTAACTTACGTTTAAATCACAAAAAAACAATTGCTTTTTAATTTCATGTACTTACGAGTACATTAACATTCCATTAAATATTAGCATATTATATCACAAAGTCATCAGTTGATGTTTGATGATGTATGCTTATACATATACATATTTACCCTTTAAATTATATTATAGATCCTAAATCTAATATATCGTTATTTTTCATTCTATTTCAACATATAATTACAATGTTTATTTTTTTATGTAACATTGTATGAATATCTCTGAGTATGCAACGATGGTCTCGACGCTTCATCCTAAAGCAGCATACTCTAAGCACAAATTTGTGTTTTGTTGTATACGTACGTCCTTTGTGAAGTTATTTCTCCAATGGGCATGTGAGTAAATAATGAGCAAGTTTCAAACTTCACTCACATCGCTGAAACAGGCAACGTTGAAATACTCGGCGTGCTTGAAATGTAAATCAAATAACATATGTATTATCCAGTATATGTGGACATAAACATAAGCATTAACTTGCTGACTTTACATTTTGTATCATAACGATAAAATAAATTTATTTATATGAAATGATTGGGCTAAATACATTTATGTAGTGTTGTAGAAGACGCATAAATATGACTTGTCTTAATGTTTTTTGCCATACGAAAACATAAATCATCACAATAACAAAATTACTGCTATTGTATATAATGCATAATTTTATATGTCCTATGTAATTAATTTTTTTTCTTTTCATCTTAATAATATCAAATTTCTAGTATTAAACTTACATATTTTACAAAATCTTTAATGAATGTAAATCTAATAATTATACATAGAAACATCTTATAACAGCAGCTATAAAAAATCTTTTATTCCAGCATCATTTATGGGATATAAATTGATATAAGCCTTTCTATAAATGTACAAACAATAAACAAACAAGTAATGTCACTCTTGACATCAAATCCTTTTTTACGAGGCCCTCCAGTGTTCAGTCTCCAGTGGACAACAAATTCTCCAATTATCCGGTTTCTCCTCTTAACGACATCCAAAGCAAAAGTCAGAATTCTTCGAAGCATCCTTGTGATGATGTATTCTACAATCTTTTAGTCCCGAAATTTTTAAATATGTTCAATATCCAACCAGCCACTACCAGCGATGACACCGTCAAAGCCAACAGGTCTTACGTCATAACACGTCATAATATCAAAAAACAAAAACGAAACTAAAGATATAATAATTACAGGATAAGTCAGTGAAATAAAAAAATTACGAGTATTTCTCTGTGATTTAATTATAAAAGTATATGAATAAGACATCTTTACAAGATGAAAAGATATAAACCTTTTTATAATTATTTTACTTATAGGATAAATTAAATAGGTAATTTGCTTAAATTCCCTCTGAAAATGTTAGAAAGATATGTAAAGCCAACATACATATTATAGATAGTATTTCATTTTAAAATTGCTTAGAACAATATGCCTAAAATGGAAAACTCCAAAAAGTATGAATAATTACAATTTTTTTGTCAACCAATTATTACCATCCCGGATAAACAAAATAAGTTCAAAATTTTAGTCATCTGTTTAGAACAAAAAAAAAGAGAAGGAATGCCTAAAACCTAATAATAAATAGCAAACTTCAAAGTATTTGTTATATTAAATTTATTTTTATATTTTTATTCATTCATTCTTGTTTTATTCGTTCATTTTATAAATAACTGTAGGCTTAAGTTAAATAAAACGTCACAATATTCTTCTCAGTGCCTAAACTTATGTTTTATTTGTATTCAATGCAGACAACAAACAATTCTCTTCAATATTAAACCCTATTAAATTCATGTTTATTTTATAAAAGCAATACTGATTGATATTTACTTTTAATAATACTCGTATTTGTTTGCGAGGCTAAATAATTGGACTTCCATTTACATTTGTAAAATATTCCATTTTTAGCTGAAGAAGGTCTTTGTCATCAGCCTATTGACGCCCACTGCTGAGCATAGCCTCTTCTCACATGGAGAAGGTTTTGAGCATTAATCACCACGCTTGCTCAAGACGGGTTGGTGATTTCAAACTTATAATTGTGAAACTATAAGTCCAGGTTTCCTCACGATGTTTTCCTTCACCGTATATCAGTGGCGTCTAAATACTCTCAGAAAGTACATATGACTCCGAATAATCACATTGGTACTTGCCAGATTTGAACCCGCGCCCTCGGCAACGAGAGGCGGACCCTTTAACCACTAGGCCACCACTGACTACTAGGCCACCACTGACTGAAGAAGGTCTTTGACATATCTAAATACAAAATATTTATATACCGCACATTGGTTTTATAAGTAAAAGTTAAATTTAGTAACCGTATAAAGTGTCATCAAAATTAGATCAAAATTTTCTTTCCAACAAAGCTGGTTTTTCTTATTTTCGTTGCTACAAAGTGAATTTTATTCATTTTCAAAAATATTCAAACCATATTCTTTCACGAGGCATAAATACTATTTTCGTTGTAAATGCCAACGTATACTTTTTACAGCTTCTTTTACTTTCTCCTTTACTTACTTACGTTCTGGTGCGTATGCTATAGATGCTCCTTGTAAAATATTAATGTTGACGACACTTTTTCTCTATACCGTGATATAATTTGCGAAGCTTAGATTGATGCCGACTAGCGACATCCATCAACCCCATGCAATTTAACGAACCGTAAATCGTTACAGACGTCAAGAATACTTGAGTTATTCACTAATATTTTTATTTCTTGTTTTTATTTTAGAATAAATTAGATTAAATAAGATTTATTTTATTAATAATAGAAACAACAACCTTCGGGATTGGAAGAACATTATCTTATAAAATTGGTTACATTAATTGGAGCGCGATTCAAATTTATACTTAACTTAATATTTACCTTGCAAAATCATAACCAATGTTCCTTGTTCCTTGTCTGCATTTTCGTCAAACCTCGCATTCTTTCCCTAAATAATATTACATTATTACTATCTCAGAAACAGTTTTTATTACTTGATGACATCCACTTAAAATCTTTTCGTTATTTTGACAACCACATCTTGGAAGTTATTTTCCGCTAATCTCTTTATGTTAAACGAAATCGTGAAGATATGAATTAAATAAACTACAGATAAGTTATTTAAAAAAATGCATCTACCTATATGATAATGATATGATTTGACTTCTGAGTTATAATTTGGTGTAATTAAGAAATTAATTACATCGACTGTTCCCAAGGCACCAACTTCTTGATACTAGTCACATCGATATGCATGGATTTCCAAAAGTAAAGTTTTAAAAATTCTTGTGTCGATATAAAACATTTAAAGACCTCGTGAGTTAGTTGCACAGTTTATCTATATGAACGTCATAGTTTAATACTAGTATGCGTCGACAAAATGTCCGAAATTTTTAAATGACGAAGCCTACGAAACTGGGGGATTATTGTAAAACAGCTGTGATATACACTGTGTCTAGTTCTGGTTTCGGTCAATTGCATGGCATTCATTAGGATTTACTGTAACATCAAACTTAGCACATCAATCGGGGACATGAGCTAGATTTTCATTGATGACCGCAATTCCAACATCAATACTATCGGGAAAGGCATGTCCGTAAATTCGGAGATCATCGGCATACATCACAGAGAAAATACAACGCCTTGTATTATAATACCGCAAGCAAAGTCGCACCAATTAAACGTTGTATATAGCTTATTATCTGCATATATCTTAAATAGATTATTATTTACTTACAGCTTGTTATCCATATATTTACACCCTTAATAGATAAGGACGAAAATCAAACCGGTTTTCGGAAATATTTATTTTTGTAGAGAAAAGAGGATAAACATTTATAGACCTCTGATTCAAAGACATTTGAAAGTTACATCTCTAATATGGTAACGTTTCTCAGAAATAGGCCGCAATTCTCGTGGGACAGAAGAATTAGGAATTTTGGAATAAGGGTAACACGAGCCTTACATCAAGATACTTCAAATATACCTGAGGATATAGTAGTAATTTTAATTATTTTATATTACGTGACTACATAATCAAATTGTAGAGGCTAAATATAAAAATTTAAATTTAAAGTATAAAGCGACTAAATACTTATGTCTAGAATCAAGGACAGTAAGTACTACACAAAATATGTACTATATTCAGTACTATGAAATACGAGTATATGAGGTTTTTGTTTAGGTCAGTGGTGGCCTAGTGGTTAAAGGGCCCGCCTCTCGTTGCCTAGAGCGGGGGTTCAAACCTGCCAAGTACCAATGTGATTTTTCGACACCACTGACATACGGTGAAGGAAAACATCGTGAGGAAACCTGGACTTATAGTTTCACAATTATGAGTTTAAAATCAAAAACCCGTCTTGAGCAAGCGTGGTGATTAATGCTCAAACCTTCTCTGTGTGAGAAAGAGGCCTTTGCTCAGCAGTGGGCTCTGATAGGCTGATGACTGACTGACTGTTTAAGTTTTAAACTTTAATTTCTATTCCTTCACAGTGGAAATATTATTCTTTCTTGCCGGCTTTATAGAAAAAAATATATATCATCTCAAATATATCATCTGATGAAAATAAATTCACAGACATTAAATGCACCATCCCATAGATGATCTATCCACTCTTCTTGCCTTCAAAACTCTCGCCATTGTCCAAAAAAGTCACCAAGCGGACGTGGACCCACCCTGGGACAAATGTCAAGAAAACTTATTAGACTAATCCTCCAAATGGCTCCACTAGACAACATACCGGAACCAGACTGCAAGCCTTAGTCAAATGAGTGGTAATTATGCCGGTAACCGTGTTATGTCGTCCCAAAAATATTTAATTGATTAAATGTTAACACCTTAATTTTGTTTAATATAACAGCTGACAATTTTGTAAATGGAGTCAATGTGGAATAGAAAAGCTTTAACGTTTTTTTACTCTTTTTTATCCTTGTTAAGTGATATAACTCCTAAAATGTCCTGACAATATATGATTTGATTTTACTATCAACTCTTTACTATAGTTTTGTTAATTAAGTAAATAGAGCTAAGTTGAATACAAATTCTTTATGAAAAGCCTCATTTTTTAAAGCATCAAAGGGTTTTTGCAGTCAAATATCATTATGTTAATTAATTTCATGAGTATTCCTTTCATATTTCGGATAACGTTACCGTATTGCGCCCATATCTAGACTAATTCAACTATCAATAAGACACTATCTATATCCATGAGATTATATTTGTTGTAAGATCTTTACTATGTTGCTCAGTAAAACTCAAACTTTATTGGTGCTTGAAAATTTGACACAATAGCTAACGATTATTATCGCTTTGCGAGATAGAAGCTCTTTGACTTCCATATTAAGAGTCTCTATTCATGTACATAGGTATTATAAACTAATAACCTGTGCAATATGGAAACACAGTGTAAATTAATAAAGACTAAAAAATAATAGAATATTCTTCTAATAGGTTGTTTTTACTGTTTAATTATCTCCAAGAGGACTTAGTTGAAAATTCCAACCGTAAGTGATATGGGCTCTATCATTATTTTCATTATTATTTCAGTCACTTTGGCTATAAAATGTTCTTCACTTAATGAAGGTTTTACCAAGCCTGAGTGGTTGTAACACTGAGACACTTTGATGTCCCACGCGGGACCTGAGTCACTCTACGGTTGCCCGTAACGGCTAGATTTGCCTAATTATTCGTCCACCGATTTTGAAATCTTCGCAGCATTTTCCCTATTAGTCACTCAAGTGATGTGTTGTTCTCTCTAACCCTTTTTCAACCAGTGATCTTCCATATAATACCTATTAAATGTGTTAATTTATTTTGCTTATAACTTGGGTACTATTAAAATCACATAGGTGTGCAAAATCATTTGTATTCAATATAATATTTCCTTTGTATTAATTTTACCCAATTAATGAATTTGTACTTCAAAGTAAAGTAAACAAAGTATGTTTATTTTGCAATAATTGCTTTTAAACCCTACAGAAATATATTATTTGCAAATACTTTTTATATTAATGGCTCGTTTCCTTATTATTTGAAAACATCGTGAAAAGTGGTAAGTATTTAATTATTTTTTTTTTAATATTCAACTATTTTAGAGCAAATTCTTATAATTTCTACTGTTTAACATATTAAATATCCTGACAATTAAAAAGTTCTTTGTATCGTTTTTTATAATCTAATATTTATTATATGTATATCTTCTATTTTATTAAGATTATTTTTTGAGCATATTTATAATTACATATACGAAATCAAAATTTGTCAGACTAATTTTTCGTTCAAGTCATCCATACAAAACTTACTACCTACTCATAATTAAAATTACAAGAAATATTATTGAGAGAAATTGTAACAAACATATATAAGGCAATATGATTAATTTTCGTAGAATTATTTTCGATGGATAAAAATTGTATTAAAAATTACTAAGGAGTTAAATACGAAATTATATAATTGAACACACTAATACAATGTTAATACAGCACATATGTACATATGTCGTGGAGAAGATGCTCGAGAGTGATGGGTCCTGGTTGGCGGTGTCCTCCTTCTGTGAGACGGTCATGTCCACGAAGGAGGCATCTCAGCGGGAAAGGGAGAGGGCGGCTGATGCTCCCTCCCCCCGCAGGCGACGTACGGGGGTGCGACGGAGGCAATTCCTACGCCTCCAATAGCACCCCTGTGTTCCGGGCTGGGGTCGGCGTGGTAACCCGGCCCTTTTGAAAGCCCGGCGTCGTCGGGGTGGTCCTAATTGCCGGGATCGCCCCCATGCTCCGAGGGAGTAAGTCCGGTCTTTGCCAGGACCGGCCAGTCGCTGGTGTGCCCTGTCGCTGACAGATCCGGGGTACACCGACATAGCGGCCGATGGCTTTCGCAGTGGTTTTAGTGAGTAGGGGCCTGCCCAGGCCGAGCCTCACACATCCCTTCCGGCCCCACCAAGGCCGGTTGGACGGCTCGTAAAAAGAGTTTCCACTACGTCATCAAAAAAAAAAAAAGCACGTACATATGTACATAGATTTAATTTTTTAAACCATAATATTTCCTTTTTTAATTTGAATACAGAAAATAATTTAACGCGAACTTAAAACTTTTGAAGCAATAATTCAAAACAACGCATAATCACTTAGCACAGAATCTTTAATATAGTTCTGTTAATCTGAGCTTGATGAGCAGTTCAAAGTGGCTGTAGCTTTCAGTCAACTGAAAGCGACCGGTAGCCATTAGTACGCTCACTAATTAAGGATTAAATAGCCACAATCCTTCCATTTCGTGTACGCTACTAGGAAGCATTACCACAGTGGTCTAACCTAATTGTTAATGATATTAAAAACATCTATAATATATGTATCGTTTAATTTTTGTCCTATCCACATATATTTTACAATATTTTATCCAATATCAAAGACGTTGCTTAATAAATATTAAAGTTGTAATTTCAATATTAATTGTACTGTAATGTTTAACACGATGATTAAATAAATATAAATAAGCTTTATTTTGAATACATATTCTTTTTCATATGCTATTATTTTTATTAATACACGAGAGAATAAAAATTTATAATAATCTCAAAAAAGGTAAAATGATACAAAAAGGAAAAAGTAAGATGTCCATTAAAAGTAATGCAAAGCATTATGACATTAAGTATAAAGAATGTCCCGCGAAAGCTGGTGCTCCATATTAAAAAGGTTCGACTACAAGATATAGCTGTTTTGAAGAAAAAAAACTTAAGCGTAGTATTTCTTATTGTTATATATATATAAATATTAGAACATAGTTTTGATACGGATGATGGACATTTTAGGCGATGTTTCTCTGTTTTTATCATGTTTATTAGTATTGTCATATAAGTGTTTAATAAAGAAGAAAATATCCTCTGCTTATAATTTTGAAAGACCGACATCATATTATAAACTATAAATAAAAGTAAAAATTTGTTCTATTTATTTATAAGTTTAAATTATTTTTCTAATTAATGTGTAAATCTCCCAACATATTTTGACAAACTATGTATGTATATGTAATGTGATAACACTTATATTTTGCCTGTTAAATTTTTAAGCTTTCTAAAAAATATGAAGTTTTGAATCACCGTTAAAATTTCAATAAAAATATTTTACCTTCGATAAGAAACAAAAATTTTTTTGTTTTGAAAATAACTAGGACGTGTATGAAATAAAACGATTTTACATATAAGATAAAAATGGAAAACTTTTACATGTAGGTATGTATGTATAAATGTGCAGGTGATATATTTAGGTTATTAAAAAATTCTATAGCAGACAAAACACAAACTTATAGATCATGCTACCATTTTCCTAACATATTTATAACATTTAAGTATTCCTTATTAATTTCTCTCTGAACCCAAATTCAAATCTATTATTTGTATAATACATAGGTATGTATCCTATCTATAGGATATTAAATATGAATATATTTAAGTCAAATTGAAGTGAACTATTTGCTGAGTCGTAATATTAATTTTAAATGTATGCCAAAAACAATATAGTATTTTCGTAAACATATCATATTTTTGATGTCTATAGATACAGTATATCATTCCGTAACGGTCTATCGGATTTTTGTATGTAAAGGAAACCTAATTCAGGAATCTTATCTTAAGCGAATAGTAGTGTCATTAAGGGGACAACCTGGGCTTTTATATATTTTTATGTCATAACAGGTAAAAGTTCACACAGCTAACCTGATAAAGAATATAGCGGATGTTTTGACAATCTCGACGTTAATATAAAATAGATTCTTCTCCTGACTATACAATATTTGTATTGTGTATTATCATATTGATCGTTATTTTCTTCTGAATAGTACGAAAACTTATTCTCCTTGTCTTTTTCTTTGATAGATAGTCAAAGTTTAACAAATAATTCAAAAACAGTGTGGCGTAAAACGATCTCAAAGAGAAGAAGAGAATTCCTAACACTATTTAAAATTGCTGTCGCGTTCACGTCTGATGCGCCAGCTCATACGTTGTGAAAATGTTGCCCATTTTCTCTTTTATTACCATAGACACAAAGGAAACATTCCTGTTTCAAAAACAAAGTCTTATTTCTTATGAAAGTAGACAATTGAAAATCACGGTCTCAATTTATAAGACAACCCACCTTGTTATTAAAGTTGGAGCGAAATATTGAAAATTATATTTGTTACTATATATATACTATATGATCATTGTTTTATCTTGAATTTTTGTTTAGATACGTTAACAATTATGAGCTATACTTTAATGAAAAATAAGATACTGCTTAAACATATGTATATTGTATGAAATTATATTTCTAAAGCATATAAGCTAAACCCAACACTCTATTTTAAAATAACAATACCATCATATTTCTTGTTTGATATCTGGAATTTTGTATTCACATGACCAGGTGTTCATTTCGCAGAGTTATATGACATTTTATGTAGACAACTGTGATCATTCGTCAAATTATCGTTATATGTTCGGATTACCTAAATGTAAATAAATAACAACGTTAATAATACAATAAGTAATTTTCAGTGTAAAATCTATTATAAATCATAAATGGCAAAGTCAACTTAATAGGTACACGGTAATCATAAAAATCGTTAAAATATTTTTTTATTTTCTAATATTTTAGCGATAATTACAGAACTTCTTTAAGTTCTATCAATAAATATTTTTAACACCATTCTAAAATTAATTATTTATGTAACTATATAGTAACAAGTATTAAACAGTAAAAAAAAATTGGTTGTTTGTAAAGTAGGTTTACGATCGAGATGTTTACGTGATAACGTCTTATTGGTGATATAAGTTTTTGGGAAGTAAAGAATTAATGAAGATAACAATTTTTTCAAATTTTAAATTACATCTATCGTTTTATTCACACTTTTGATAATAAATTTCGGGTGTATTCGTTTGTATGTATTCATTCGTTTGTATGCCGCTAGAGTGAGAGAGACGGAAGATCGGTCCACTCACTCGAACGCTTTGCCTGCCTCCGCTCGTGAGGATTCCGCGTGACATGTTTCACGGAATGACTGGCAGCGCTCGAGATGAGACGGGAGATCGGTCCTTCTCTCTCTCGTTATACCTGCGATCGCGCTCGTGAGGTTTTGGTGTGACACAAGTTTCTGAACATGTCACCCGACTATAACGATTTTAAAGACGTTATCACGTCAAAAGAGATTAGTCACATTATATTACGGGAAATTTTATCTTATATTTGTCTTAAACATTACACGAAACGGGAAAAAACACAATAAACAAAAATGTAAAAAGTCACACTTAATTCTCGTCTTTAAAAAAAATAAGAAAACTATTTTATATTTATTTAATAAATTACAATCATATTCTGTTTTGTGTATATCAAATATGGAAACAAAATTTATCGATCCGATGAAATAAAAAGTTAACCGATTGCACTGAAACTGATGAATACTCAAACTGTGCCTTTTGGATATAAATAAACATTTCCATATTAAATGAAAATTAAATTAAATATAAATCATGTGTATTTAACCAAAAGAAAAACTCTTATTAGTCATATTTAATATAGTTGTCTTAAATCAAGTCTTATATGTATCATATTGGACCTGATAAAATTAATGCACAAAATGTTCATATGTTTTTTCCGTATTTAATTAGCAAAACATGAGAACATTTGTTAAAGAATATGCTATTACATTAATATAAAAAAATTATGTTAAATATGAATAAAGGTAAACAAAATACTAAAAACTTGATGAATACGCAAATCATAACCTCTCTTCCTAAAGACAATTAGATAAAATGAAATAAAAAAAGGATCGTAATCACGAGGCAGCTTCTGTCGGGGGATGAATGTACGGTCGCTGCGTCAATACTACCTAGCTGTGATAAACTATTGTTACCGTCACTTGTTTCAGGAGGGCTGCCGGCGCCCGTTAATGAATACGATTTCAAGGGAGCCTGACAGTCAACAGACATAACGCTCCGCTCATATTTACACTTGCAATATGAATGAGGTGATTTATTTGTTATATCTGAAACCGATAATTGAGTGCTGCGATGTTTCATTTTGATACAGTAAATTTCGCTGCGGTTTAACGTATGCATAAAATATAGCAAACATTGATCTTTATAAAATCAAGCTGCAAACAATTTTTAAAATTGAAATGGTTATTTAATTACGTAAACATAATTAAAGTAATTGTTCTCAACGCCTAATTAGCAAAAGCAATATTATGTACATGTAACAAAGGGTATATATGAAAATGTAATTAAAATACCCTTCCTTACATTTAAGAGTTAAAACGTATGCTTGATAAAAATATGGTTTATTTATTACAACCTTACCATTAATGATACAAAAAGCTGTGTTAAAGAAGTTGTAGATACAAATCATCCTCTTGTTTCGATGATTTTTATTCTACTTTATCTATTTTAAATTAGTTGAAATGGAATCTCGTTGTTAAGTGAACAAGGTAGGAAATAATACCGTTATTTATGTATCATAGATAGAATATCGTTAAAATAATATTGTTATTGAAATATCAACACTTATAAAGTACATATTTTCCAGTTGTCTATATAATTGATGTTACATAACTTTAAATAGTAAGGTCTGACACGTTTATTCACACATACCTATAGGAAAAAACAGTTTTTATAAATAACATTTTTGTACCATGTCATGTTTCTTTTAAAGTAATGAAATATTTTAATAAAAGCGAAAAACATAATTGAATACCCTGACTGAACACTGTCGTGTTTCTAAATAATGCAAAAATTTCACGTACAATAATTATATTAACAATGTAGACTCTTACTTTATACTTTTACGTACAAATGAAATTGGTTTTACTGAAAAATATTACTAAAAATTTGCTTATTTTGGTACTGTTTTTATAATAAATTATAATTATTTTCAGGTAGAATGAAGAAGTATAGAAACCACATGTTATAGAAGTTAATTCAAGTGGTTTCTTTAGAAATAAAAAAAACATCACTGTATATATAATATTACCAAAGCTAACTTTAAGCTTACAATAATTAACATACTCCTAACAATTTAGGACCTGCTTAGGATCCCGCCACCATCCCAGACATATGTGTCGGCATTGTTTTATCACATTTGAAACTAGCCCTATAGTCAGGGTTGTTAGTTGTAAGTTTATTATCTAAAGTTTCATTATGTGAGCTGTAATATAATAATTAAATTGGTAAAGCTCCAATACGTCTTCATTAAAAATCCTAAACTACTGCCAATATTTATTTCTATAGTATCATAGAAATTTATTTATCTGTATATAAAAATCTCTACAATATATTCTTAGTAAAATACGAAATATATTATATGAATTAATACAATGACATTTGATTTATTTGATACCCATTTCCAAATACTACGGAGACATCCATCAAGCCAATACATTCGTCATTTAGCGAACCGTAAATTGTAACTGATGTCGGGACTACTCTGTATAAACCATACAATGTATCGTTATAACAAAAAAACACCTTTACAAATTTTATTTTATTACTGAATGCTGTTTTAATGAAATATGTTTTGCTATTATATTATATTTTTTAATTTATAATAGAACTAAGTTAATGAATTAAAGATCGCAGTTTTCTCTAAGCTATCGAATTTATATTTTGATTATTTTTTAAGTAATTAGGACGTCTACATATAGCGTATCAATGAATTTGAGATAAGTTTGTCATTCGATATAACAGTAGTAAGTAGTAATAGTGGTAGTAATAAAAAAAAAACGATATTTTTAATATATTTGTGTTCACTTTTAATATCGATGACTGTTGTACGTCCTCATTAATATGTAATACAAATGACACAATAATATGCTCGTGGAACATAAATTCCTTAAATAATTTCATATTTATTAATTAATAAATTTTATATAATTCTATTTCTAAAACAATAAATTTGTTGAATAAGATAAAAGAAATTTTGTTCAAAAGCAAAACAACTCCGCCGGGGAGCGATAAGTCCACAGCCCCATCAATAGTCTCTCGCTGTGATAAACCATTGTTCCCGGCGCTTGCTCCAGCAAGGCTGGTATGCTTTGATGAACACGACTCTTAAGAGTGCCGACAGTCAACAAATGGAAGCGTTTATAATCAACTATATTGATGCTAATACAACAATATATTCTTATTCTATTATTCTGTAGATTTATATAAATTTATTTGATATATATTTTTATCCATAGTTAATTTATGTTTTTTATGCTTATACTCGTATTTTTTTCATGGCTAGGTATTGATCTCATGTAAGATTATAATTTATACCTTTGATATATATTGTATATTATAAGGACATAAAACTATTAAGATCATGGTGAGAATCTATGGTTAATGATATTAATGATATAATATTTTAATTAAACGTCATTTACCGTACAGATACCTTCTTTGAAACAAGGTTGGCTATTAAAACTCATACATGTAAGATGAAAATTACTATAAAAGTCGTACCTACTATTGTGTGAAACATATCTCGCCCGGGGTAAAAAGCTCCAGATAATACCCAGGACAGTGAAACTATTTCTCAAATAGAAAAATCTAAAGAATTGTTTCAAAATAATAATATTCATACCAGCTTGGGAATTGAAAAATTCTATGTTAAAAATATTTTATACGTAAATGAAACACGTACATATATGAAAAAAAGAAACAAAACTTTCAAAGGGAAGGAAAAGGACAAAAATAAAGTTAAAACATTGTATTGAATGCCTCTATGTGCCCTTGTGGCTAGTTACGTTCCCAAAAAAAGGACAAACACAAATAGAAACAGGGTCAGAACAGTCAAACTACTCAAGTAAGAGATTACCTTGTATTTCAAATGTTTACTTGTATTTGTATAGAGCTTTACCATGAATGTATAGTATGTTTATAAATATAAATAAAGGGATTACTACTCAGCTTAACGTCTTATTACATATAACGACAAAACCAAACCATGTTTTTTTTTTTATTTTATACTCCAAATAAAAGTTAGTGGGAGTTTAATGTAAGTCATTCAGACGATTTATTTTCCTTGTCTTTTGAATATTGAACAACTAATACGCTCACACAAAATTACGCTTTTTTAATATAAGATTATATTAAATATAATCTTAAACACACAAACAGGTAATGAATATGATTTACACCACAAAATTTGTAATTAACTCATATAAATTAATATCAGTTAGATGTTCTCAAAGTTTTAGCTAAACCGCTGAAGTCGTCTAAGTTTAGTTCTAAGACGTAGTTTCATAGATATTATTAAGATATCTATTCATTATGTGGGTAAAGTCGCTTTCAATTTTGTAGCATTAGCCGATTTAAAAGATCTTTTCGTTAATCCAAACTCGAACTTTATTTATTTTATACACTGCAATACACGCATGGGATGTATTCAAATAGGTTTTTTTTCATTTCTCAGGGTATTTTGCTTAGCCCATATTCTCAAAAGCGAAAATAATTTACTTTTTATATAAAACTCTCTGTAGTCATCTGAAAATAAATACAATTTAATTACAAGTACGAATTATATGAGATTCTATAATAAACAAGAAGACAAAAACCTGACGAACAACTCAAATACATTATCTAACAGAAGTCATGATATAAATATTCTTTTTAAATTTTATTACGAAATTCGATAAATAATTTTCTAGGAAAACCTTTTATTATTATAAAGTCTTTGGACTGTTAAGAATTCCGATATTTATTTGAAAAGACAGAAACTCTTTAACGAACTTGGTGATTTATGAAACCTTTAAGCTATCAGAACAAAACTCAATGGGATCGTCACGTTTTATCTAAGTATAACTCACAACAAACTACTAAAGTTCACAAAACATCACTATTAGTTAAAAGACAAAATGTTTTTATTCAGGACCCAAATTGACAAAGTTATCCAAATAAACGACCATTAGAGGTAAACAAACATTTATCTCTTAAAGTAATGGGACTTAGCTGGATGAGACATTTAACTATAAGGAGAATCTAATATTATTCGGATTACTACGCGTACAATATACGCCGTACATAATATACGCGTATAATATATAAACCGAGTACATTTAAATGAATACTCACGAAAGCCTTAGATCTTATTATAAGAACAACCTTCAAATTCAAATCACTGTTTTTGCAAGTTATAGACTATAATTTTATGATCGTCAAAATATCAGTCAAAACTGAAACATGTTTTTACATGCTTTAAACAGCCTTAATAACAAAACAATCTACATCAACATCCCATTTTATTTATGGTAATAAATATGTTAGCTATCTCTATTATGTGAAATAAAGTTTGATACAGTATTTCTATAACGAGCTTTAACGTTGGAGTAAATTCAAATTAACTCTCAATTTGTTCCCAATATTTCCTCCAAAGTTATTCCTAATACCAAAATATAATCATTCATGTATAACATATTTTTAACTCAAGCATAACTTTTTAATGAACGTAGTTTTGACCTAATACCCTTGCCAGTTTAATATTTAACGGTATGGAAATTATGTTTTTATCTGACCTATATTATATCAAAATAACATATATTATTTAGACTTTGGAATTAAAGAAGGGTATGAAGTTTGTATACCAAACGATGAGTCGATATTGCAATTAAATTCCACGACGTCTCGCATTACTAAGTTACCAACTAGCGAGACAAGTAGCACACGTCCTTGTTCCTGAAAAGCAATTCTCGCATCTTCAACTCAAAGAAAATCCCCGCTGAGCGGTGCTTCGCAGTCCGCTGCGCAGTGCAAAGACTTTTCCTATTAATGAGAAAAATTTGTAACAGCGCGAATTCCTTTCTTTATAATGTAGCATCTGATTTTAAGCCTGTTTTTCAGCTATTTAACTCCATCAAAGCAAAACAATAACAATGTTGCTAAAGAAGATATAATTATTTATTTGTTGTTGGGTTTTTTTCTCACCCAAACAATTGGAACATTTGCTAGGCTAGATAAATGTTAGAAAAATATATTTATCATATCGATACGAGAGTAGTTTATTATTCATAGCACAACAATAACACTATTGAACCAGGATGTATAAAATAAATAGAGTTTAGCAGGTTTCATAAAGTAAGAAAATTTCTAATTATTACGTAACGGAATTGAAACACATGATTCGGTACATAACTCTTGGATATATTTTCTCGAATAATACTCCAATTCTATATAAACTAAACAGTAAACGTGTGGTATGGTGTGGAAAAGCACATAGTTGTGTTTATTGTTTAGTATTGGTATAGAAGCTACCTCTTTGTGAAACATAATTGAAATTCTCTATGAAGACATCAATAACAGAACAGATATTAGTGAGGGTCGGCCCTTATTTTTCTTGTATGAGATTGCTTTGTGCTATTGTTATCGTTTGATCCATAATCTTTTTATATGATTACGATTAATCTTTTAACATCCATATTATACCTATGCACTTTCTTTTGTCTGCAAACGCATTTGTAAAAAAATGGGTTATATGTATAAAATATTAATTATAATTAGAATAATTAACTAGGCACTTGTTCTAATTAGAGTAAATTTGGAAAATGTAACGATATTTTATATTTGTGTATGTAACTTAATCGCTTAAATTCAACGGGACCAATTTTGTTTAATTCTTTGTGATCACTAACTCAAAGGCCTTAATAAGTCAGTGGATGCTTATTATAATAAGTATAGTTTATCCTAAATACATATATGGGCTCAACTGTAAAGTTCAAACAATAAGGGCGAATCCGTGTGTAAAATAAAGTTAATTATAAAACCAAGTTTAATTTTCATGTCCCTAATTCTTTTATTATTATTTAGTGTTAATATCATAACATTATCATTTTATTATATGTATATGATTTTAGGGTAAATGTTAGAAACTATGTTAATGTAAAATTTAATTCTCCATCTTATACGCTATTCAGAACGCGGAGCTCTGTGAATGTTTCACAATCAGCTAATTTATCTCAAGATATCTACCGTAATAGAGGAATTAAAGTTTTAGTACGTTATCAGACAATTACTAAATAAAATATATTTCACGTGTACCGAATGAATGATTTATTTTCCATGAAACTTTTTACCACAATTTTATTTTCTTTATTAAATATTTTACAAACAATATTTTGTATAGGGGCAGCGAAGAATTGTTAATTGTTACGAAATTAATTTTGAGGGTAAAATATTTTATAATGGAAGCAAGGGCTTCATACAATTGGATTAAAATTTTAGCACCCATTGTGGGGCCTATTGATTTGATTTCCCAAAGCTTACGATAAATATTTTGAGTCATACTTTCTTTTAATAAATTAATACAAAATACTTATAATGTTTTTGATAGCATTAATATTCTTTGTTTTGAAAAATAACACTGTAAAAAAAACAATTATAACAATATAAAAAAACCATACATAGGAGAGTAGATAAAACAAAATTTATAAATTTTAATCAGTAACTTGATTGGTTTTTGGCTGATATTCAAACCTTAATTAATAAAAGTAAAAGCTACACAATATGTTCGAGAATTGTAGGAAAATTGGTTTTTAAATTAGTAAATCCAGTGTTCAAACCCCACGCTGTTGCGTTGCATAAATAACCACAGCAAATAAAGTCAAAAACAACTGAAAATTTATTATATTCATGCATGTAACAATAGAACACCCGGTGATTTCATTCCCAGTTAATTATTAAATAATACTTACGTCATTATCCGATATTTTATAATATTTTTTGTTTTATTTTTAAAAAATATCTTATTTTATTAGACATGACCTACGCTAATAATATATTTATCCTCATACTTTTTCAAATAAAATTCATGTAAAACACGAACCACGAAGTATCTTGCAGTAGTAAGAAGTTACATAATTCGATATTCGATGGCATCGAAAACATTGAAGAACTTAAATTGACTTAGTGTCTGAGTAATAAAATGTAGCAAAGTTTCTAAACAACAACGCTAAATCGAACTGTCGAAAGCACGGGCAATGAGGGTGGTAGCAGTTCGCCCGCCATCTCTATTTGCACACGTTTGAATGTCATTGTCAGGGTGCTAATTGCCCGACTGTGTTCCCCTCACTCCATGTATTTGCATACATTCCTATGTTTATTTTAATTATCGCCACATATTCATCTGAAATTTTCAATGCATATATTTATGTTGATAATTAAATAAGCTTATCGAAAATATTATTACAAAGTATGGGATTTTATTACAATTTTGAAACTGTATGAGGTATTATATAAGTGGTTATATATACTTAAGTATGGGAATTATATATATTTATTTTGTTTAATATTATAATTAAAACATCGAGTTGTATATGGAAGGTTGAGGCAAGCGGCAGGCCGGAGCGCCAGTCGCCCTCGTCTCCGCCGCAGCGTCGAATTAATTTTTCCAACCAGTTGACTTCGAATGTGCTTCCGGCTTAAGTTTCCTCAACTCGAAAGCAAACTTTTCGTGTTTACATTACTTAAAATTCTTTTAACTCTCAGCTTTGCTCGCAATACTTGCCGTAGTATCATTTGCAGTGTATATTTATTTCTTGTTTAAGGAAAATGTTTTGCCTTTTCACTTGAGGAAAATTGCACTTCAAACACTTGTTAAAATTTCCTCACGTACATATTTCCACCGTTTAAAAGATACGAAGTAAATATTTTCTAAGTGGAACGTTTATTCGTTTTTCTCTTATTCTGAATGTGAATATTCGTATAGTAATTGCACGGTTATCTCGGTTTATGAATAATTTTAATTTGTTGAAACTGAATAGATATTTAAACATTTAATAAGATGTATTATTAGGTATTTCACATAAAGAGCACTCCATTTCTGTTTCATTATTGCCTGACTAAGTTTCCTGTAGCAAAGGAAACGTTGTTGCAAATATGATTTAGGAACGAGGTATATCAAAGACTAATTGCTCTATTTCAGTGATATACGCTTATGATGAAAATAACAAGAAAACTAATTGATCTATTAAAAAGACAGGCAGCAGGTCATAATTAACTTGTATGTAATATATACGTAGGGGCTATATGTAGGGCATCCTTTTATGCAGTACATTGTATGAACATAAAATTGTTAAAGAAATATTCATTTAATATTATTATTTCGCATTTTTCATCTTTTACAGAATTTACTGTTTATTAAAAAAAATATGAATATTCAACAAAAAATGTATTTATTGCAGTAGATAGACAAAAAAATAAAAATTTCTGAACATGACTTTTTATAGATGAAAAACACATACAATTTTAATCAAATATCACATTTAATATATCCTCTCAATGAAAGCAAAGACACGTTCTAAGTCAATGCATAATTTCAAAACGTTCGCAATAGTAAATATCTGAGCAGGGTAAATCCCGCTTAACCTAATATATTGCGACAAGCACTTTGCCTGATTAAGGTATGTATTTATTTCTATATAATCATACAAATTACGCTTACCATTCCGTATACCAATAAAATATAATACCAACCACATATACATGACAAAATGATGACGGAAATTATGTCCACATGAAAATCTATAGGATTAGCTATATATGAAAAATATATATTATGGAAACTTCTTTATATTGAAACAATATCAAACACGGATTATTTTTTTAGAACTATTATTTTACTGGTTAAGTTATATGTGTAAAATCTTCGTAATTTGTAGAATATTAAAATAAAAATTATTGTACATTTACCATATATGGGTAGACTGAATTTTAATAGTCATTCATTAGTTAGTTTGCAACGATAGCTTTGATTTTACGCCATTCATTTAGCGAGTAATCATAGAGTCCGGGAAAACCCTTTCATTAAATACTGGTAATGAGTTTTCACCCTTCGTCGAATAGTGGACATCGACGTTTAACAGACAACCTCACGCCTTATTTTGTCGTTTTGCATGCACCGACAAATTGGGCTCGAGCAACGTTTATTCAGTGAAGGCTGGTTTATATGCTAGCATTATGCATGTAACATGCATGCAATTTGCATGTTCTGGATAGGTGAAATTGGTTTTTGCTTTAAAGCAGGTACATAAGTGCTTGTGTATCCACGTGCGTCTATTAAACATTCTATCAATGTAGGTACATTTTATCCTGGGATGATATAATCGGATTTGGTTCTTTATAATGATATTTTTAGAAACAAAGCTTAGGCGGTGATTTACATATTTTTTATCGATGATATTTGTAGCAAAAAATATTAAAAGATGAAAGATATCGGGTGGCGAACCCAAATCATCTTCATTAGTGAGTATACCGACTCACTCGATATCTAAAACAGACCAACTTAATTATTAAAGGCACGTCGTTAGAAAACCGATAATATCTACGGCAATGTAATTTGCTGTCCCCATTGTGCGGACTTTTTGAGCCCTTTGTCTCAGTTAATTTATTCTTACTAAATATTTGAATTATTAAGACTTATACAAATAATGATGTTATTTGTGAACTCTGTAACATTAAAGGATATTTTCGGGTTTCTACTCAATTCATTTATGGCATTAATGGTGTGAATAAATGAAAGAAACGTTGCAATAATTCATTTTTTATTCGACAAAGAAATGAATTCTGGAAAAATACATAATGCGTTTAAAATGTCAAATTACATGGACACTGAGGGGTACGAGAAAGTTTATTTTGCAGTCTTGTTCAGTATAAATTGACAGATTAATTAATTGTACATTTTCATTGTTATTATTACATATACCCAAAATATACACTTCCATGAAATAATAAATACAAGACTACAAAACTTATCCTATTAAATATGTATATAATTTATTACGGGCACGTAATAACCACCCATGTGTTATGAATTTCTTTTATCTTTCACCACATAACAATTTACATCTTATAAATATTATTTAAAAGTTCATTTTAAAATAATGCATAATACCCGTCAAAGTGGATAAAGATAATTAGAAAAGTTTTTTCTCATACACTAGAACATAAAAATATTACTCTTATAGTTCACCATTTCAGCTGAATTTATTAACTTAAATTAGGTATTACATATACATTGCTATTTTCTGTTAGTTACAGAAAATAAATTAATAATAAATTTAAAATAACAGTAAAATATTATTAGATTTAAACGCTTGGTTAAGCAAAGCTTTTCTTAAATGGGTCTTTATACATACGTAAATTTATTGAAAGAATATAAAACAAAGCTTTATTTCGTTATTTTATAAAAGTTTTTTTTAGATTTATGGCCAAGGTATTTATTAAGAAAACAGTTGATAAAAGAAAACAAAGCCTCATATAAAATTGATGAGGGTAATTTGTTGACCTTATAGTCCCCTTTTAGTAGCTAAAATTCTTCTTTGGCACAAAATGTGTTTTACATTTGTTTTGATAAGACTCTGCCATTCAATATACACTCTATTGATGTTAATAAAATTCGCGAACTAAGCAGGAATAAAGTTTAATCTAACTTTGTACATATATATACAAATAAATCTATTTTTATGTAAAATAGAAACTTGTTCTTATGCCTTATGATCTGTATTCCTGAAACAATATAGTTTCAAAGTCTAGAAGAACTTCTAATTGTTGATTTATAGTTCGGTGCTCATCTCCGCAGCCCCGGGAGGCTTACTAGAAGACGAGTGAAACACGGAGTCCAAGCTACTGGAAGCATCCTTCACTGAACTTAGTTGCTCTGTAACCTGAAGTTTATCAAAGGTATCTATAGTAACAGCATTTGAATTTAAAACATATTACAATTGTTTAAAACAGCAAAATAAATAATTTACCAAAATTAATCACAAAACACAAATTAACACAATAAAAAAAAAAAAAGTTAGTCAATGTGTTAGTTTTTAACTACAAACCACCAAATAAACATGCACATACAAAAACAAAGACGCGAGCAACCAGGAGAGGGACAAATCATCGTGCAGCTACAGCATTCCGCTACGAGTTGCGACACAAATGTGATCATAAACCATCATATGATCATCCGTCCTTACTTACTGCGTGCTTTCTATCAGAGGTTTTAATATAATGTCGAGTGTGTTGTCATGTCGCATGTGCGCGTGCGCATGAGCGAGACGAGAGTGCGTGCGCGCGATGTTCGCGTTGTAGTCGCGCGACTCCCTCGACGGACGAGCATACCGCCGCGCCAGAGACCCGCTCTCGCCCATTATGTTGTTGTTGCTAGCATGTCTCTGTATATCCCAATCATATTTGCTCAATACTACATGTGCACCATTACATACCAATAAATAACTGAAATTCATTTGTATTATAAAAGTAACCCAAAGCATAAGACATGATATATATAAAGCGGAATTAAGTTGTATTAAAAAATTACTTCTAAAATTCAAACTGAAAGTTTTACTATAAATTATTCAGAATGAAATAATAAGATTTACCACTCATAAGCCCCTGCAAGCAGAGTTTAGTTAACTTTCAAATGGTCGAAATATTTATAAATATCCGAGAAGTTAGATAACTTAATGAATATCTACAATAAGAAATCTACTGAGAACTTATATTTTGTAAAGTATGTGCATTATTTATCTTCTGTCAATGATAAAAAAATTAAGACTTTTTACTGTTATAATATACCCAAGTCGTTATAATTTTTTCTGTACATAGCTTTATTTTCGGAAAACCCAGCTATGGACCTGCATATGTTTCCAACAGCCCTCGTAGTTCCGTTTTGAAATATTACATGAATATAAAACTGGTACATAGAGTATATAATTTAATAAGGAACAACAAAAAGGTTCAAAACCGTTTCTTTAAAAACCAGATTGTCTTTGTATTTATTTATAGTTTCGACTATGGCCGGGCTGCAAGGGTAGTCGGATCGCGGAAGTAAGTTAGAAGCGAAGCGCCCACTCACGAAGAGAGAAAAGCCATCGTCCGCAGGGCTTGGATAGCAGCGGGGCGCGAGGTCGCGCGGGCGGCGTGACGTGGCGCTGTCACTCGCGACCGACAGCAGCGACCTCTGGCTGCCGGACACGGAGAGACGTGCGCGACCCGGCGCGGCCGGCGGCCGGCGGGTTAACGCGCCCGCGCCGCACCCCGCACCCCCTATACTCCCCCCACCAGCACGCCACTGCCTACTCACTGGGGCCTGGGAACTTCCACCGCCGCATTTTGCACTGTCACTGGATCTGTCAATTTTTTTATATATTAATATAAGTGTTGGTGTATTAGAAATAAATGACAAGTGTAACTATATTTGAGAGGAAACAAAATCCTACCTCTCAGAGGAATACGCGTAATCCTGGTCGGCGCCTAATCCAGAATCTGTATGTTCGTGTGATACCCTTGCGCTTCCTATCAATTCTCCACTGGAACTATTACTATTGCTGTTTGTTACTGGACTATACGGATTGTTATTATGAGGTATTGGCGTCACTGAAGTTTTATATCCATTGTTAGCTATATAATCTTCACTGATCCGTCCAACAGAATCATCATAGTTTGGATACAAACGCCTAAAAAATACGAAACTCCTAAATTCCTAACATCAAATTTTAAAAATATAACTTATAAGACTACTTAGATAATACCAATAACTCATATGGGAACTAAGAGTGAAAAAAATGTTTCCTATAATGAATATGGAATTATCAATATATAACAATGCGTTAATAATGATATCAGTACCTTCCATGTTTTTCATTGGTAGTTCTATGTGTGCTGAGTGTACTTGATATCGATCTGAGAGACCCTTGATTGTGGTTGTCGTGGTCACTTTTGTGTGACGAAGAGCTCTTCTCCCGTCTTGCAAGTGAACCGTGATCCGTCCTAAGTACATTGTAATGACATCAATTCAGAAAATGTTGTTCGTATCTAAGGACTAAGTAAATTATCATTAAGAATCCACGGTCCTCTGAAATTTGTTTATTTGTATTTAAATAGAAGAGTAGTTACGTTGCTTTATTAAGATGTATTTAATTGTAATATGGATGGATTTATGAAATAAACAACACAGAACAGTTTTTTATTATCATGTACTATTTTTCTTTATTGAAGTATCACATACTGTCTGTGTTTAGATGAAGTCCTTAGTTTGGTGTGCCGAGCCTGGCTCGTTTGCACAACAGTATAGGGTATCTCCTTCAGCTGTTCCTCAGTCATTCCTGTAGTATCCACTAGAGAGAATTCGAGGTGTTGCTTTAATTCATTTGGTAGCCACTTCTTTTCGTTCGGTGAACGGGATCGTGACCTAAATCACATAGATGATTGGAAACTTTTCTTTTATTTAACTAACTATAGAAAAAGCTTTTAAATATTGTATAAATAAAAGTAACCAATGTGTAAGTACCTATGTTTTTTATGTCTTCGTGGCCTATGTGAAGATCGATGCGTTCCCGTCTCCGGTTCCATTTGTGAACGACGAACATTTGCCACCTAATATATAAAAAGAGTATGGTGATCACAATGAAGTAAATTAATCTCCAAGCATTCTTGAAATTTTGTCTTGAAAGTTAATGAAGATACTATTTATTTCCTACCATAAAAGTACTTACTTGCACGCTGCCTCCAGCTGACGTCTGTCTTAATACTTCCTTCCATTGAGATTCCGAGTCGACAAGCTCGTATTCCCTGAAATATTTAAACCATTACTAAAGGGAACTTCAAAGACGATATCAATTAAGTTTTCGTCTTAGTTACCGCTTTAATAAACGGAAAAACTTGGCTTCTTCGAAACTTAATTCCTTTTCTAATTGGTATAAATTATTATTATAAGAACAATATTCTTCAACTGTTTTAATATCATTTCAATTATGAACTTTATTTTAATTAAAATACAAAAAAATGGATTGCTGGTCTTCTTAGTGGATTCTATAGTAGGATTTTTTATAGGTAAACTGACTTGTTGTCCGGTTGTGAGTCATCTCTCTCTGAACCGGACTCCTGCTTGTGTCTAGAGCGGTGTCGGCGATGTCTGCGGCCAGAGCGTCCGGAACCACGGGACAGTTCACTCTCTGCATCTGACTGCTGTCTTCGAGAGCGGTGCCTGTGTCTACAGAAATGCAGAATAGAAGATATATGAAATTGTAAACGATTCTAATAACATATATACGATCCTTTAAAATTTTTCCGAATCATATGTACTTTCTACGTCATGATTAATGTTGATTCCCAAAAGAGGGTTGATGTCATTGACGCTTACTTGCGGTTGGACCTCGAGTCATTAGAACTCTGAGAATCTACTGAAGCTGAACGGTGTCTCGGCACTGGTGGCGGCCTGTGAGTAGTTGGTGAGGCCGAATATAGACCACGTCGAGTCGGTGCCGAGCGAGTTGAACGGGGTGACCCGCCGGGACCGACAGTCTCACAAGGGCCTTCACCGCTTATACTAATATGAATTATTTATATTAATAACAAAGAATTTATTTTAATTTCGTAAGACACACGTGAAGTGACTGCTAATATACTAATAAATTAAAAACTAAATAAGTTTTGAACGTGGAATTTATCAACTTTTGATTTGATATATAAATTATCTTTTTATTAATAAACCTGAATTATTTATGTGAAGTAATTTGTTTAATGTGTTTGAAACGCAAATGTATATTTTTGCATCATACCTACTGATGTAATGTAATGTAAAATTAAAAGTTTATTTTTCGATGACAGTTTCATATTTTTTTACATGTCTATGTACTTAACCCCAAATGTTACTGCGGAAACTATATTTGTTTAAGTAATAGGATGAGCTTCTGCCCCTTATATTTATTACAATTTTAAATCACGTTGTTAGAATTTGTTGTCAAATGCAAAACATTAAATTATTTAACATAAAATAAGCCTGGTGAAGAAATTTTAACAAATTCTTAAAGCAACATAACTTTTAAGCACACTCACGAATTAGGGCGGTGCACTGAGGTAGGCTGTTTAACTTCAGGAGGGCAGTCTTTTATTCTCAAATCTTCTAACTTTGGCACTGTAATATAATTAACTGTTAGAAGGATTTCGTAGCAAAAATATACAAATACACGAACTTTAACAACATAACTTAAATATTTATTTGATTTATTTTAAAACCGTATTACTTTTAAATACGATCAATTAAATTGTGTAAAGTCTATATAATTATTAAAATGAAGGAAATAATTACTAAAAATAAAACATACCGTCGTGTAACGAAGAATAAGATGTTAGTGGACGGGAAATCCTTCGAGAGGGTGTTCGTGTGAACGCAGGCGGAGGACGTGGTCTTGCGGCTCGACTACTTTAGAAAATAATTAAAGATATCATTAAAAATCTCAACGTTCAAAACTAGTAAACAAATTTACACATATACACAGTGATCAATAAAATCCTTCTATGGCAAAATTCTAATTATCTATTCAATTATTTTTTAAAGAAATAAATTAACAAAATACCTATTTCTCAGTCTTGAACCTAATGCAAATATATCTGCTGATGCGGGTGATGTTTGTTGTAAGCGAAAGAAAGTGTGATGATCAGAACAACACCGCCACAAATGCCGGCAAGCTGCTCTTGTTGGGGATTCAAAACCATATGTTGATGTGTCATTCTAAAAAAGACGATAATTACTTAGTGAAATAAACCATCGTCAAATAGTAATATTCAGAGCTTAATTAAAAACTTTTCGTCTTGAGGAGTGAAACTAATCAAAGTAGCATTTAGCTTTATATGAAATTGTTGTGAGGGAAAATTCGGTATAATCTATGGGCTTATTGTTATATTCAAACTTCTTCAGACTAACTAACTCCTTTCTTGAAATTCAAAATTAATTTATGACTGTTAATTGAAGACTTTGAAGTTTATCGAGAATATAAAAAGGAACACATGTATGTATGTAGTTAAAGTTAAGGTCATTTTAAATGGGTGTGCAAATATTTTTTAGCATTAATAAATTTTAAGCAACACTTATTATTACGTCGTCTCTTTTAGTCTTTGAGTTACTTATTTATTCTATAATTTTATTACAAAAGATTGCAAAATATAATCGATTTACGGCGTAATTAAAAAGGGGAATAATATTACAAAGCCCTTTTTCCTATACACAAAATTATAAGATTATATAAATTTTATGATACCATAAAAATATAACCCCAGGGTAAAATTCTCGCATATATAATGAGATTATTATCAAATGAAAAAGCAATCTTACGGCACTTCCTTTGATCAATGTTCATTTTTTGAGCAAAATATATTGAAACAATTTTCAACGCCCGTCCCTAATTTGAAGTCACTTCAAAGGTTTACGAATAGGGGCAAGTGTCTGCAAGCCGAGCAGGGAAGTAACCCACATGTTATCAGTACTAGTCAAGAGTGCGGTAAATACTACGTTCATTTTTATACGACTTATCTGTAATTGCATGCCTACGAATGTCTTTCAAGGAGACAGTCCAAGGCGAACTCCATCACACAGAACTATTCACAGTAGCTTATCAAGACCAACGATCTGAACCGTTCAAAAATGAGGCCATGTCACATGCTAAATCTTCCTACTAGATGTGTGTATTTTTATTTCATATTTTTGTATAGTTTCTTACATTTTTATCTGCTACGCGGATCATAAAATATCGTCCTTTGTAATAAAGTTTTGATACACGCGGCCAGTAATAGGTAGCGACTGTATGTTTTCCACGTAAGAGCAACAGGCCACTTGGCGCTAGTCCCAAGAAGTACTCAACGCTGTCTTCGCCCTGCATTAAATAAAGTGTTGTCGTTAACACAGAATAACAAAACAAGCGAAATGAACACAGAGAATAGTCAAACATTTACCAGAACAGGATGAAGATCAACACCATACATGTCAAGCCATTTCACTTTATCTAAGTAACTAAGTTCCGCTTGTGCTGGTGATATACCTCTGTAACATAAAGCGGCCTAAGTAAGACAGTTAAACGAGAACCCAGTAAACATTTTTTTTATGTCCCTACAATACTATTTTAACTACGAAGTAATAATTTAAATAGGCTTACATAATAAATACATTTTAAATTTCTATGTTACAAACTAAACGAAAATGTATTCCATATCCTAAAATTACACGATAGCTCACAGGAAAACAGTCCAATATTATCATAATGGGTTTTTTGTTTTTGTCAACAACATATATATGTAAGTTTATTACATAGTTATAAACTTATTAAGGAACTGTTACTTACGTGAGTGTTCTGTGTATATCCGCAGCTCTTCCTTCGAATTCAGGTGTTTGATGAGCAAGCAGCCTAAATTCTGACACGTAGCCAAGTGTATGTCGACGAGGATCATAGTCGCCTAATTCCGCTGTACACAAAGAAATACAGAATTAACAACAATTAAACCCTTTGGTATCGTATCCTTGCATTATAAGGAAGATGACAAATATTTGTATTTGCTTTAAAATATCAATGAAGTAATATAAACAACAAATAGTAATATTAATTTGACTATATCATCCGTGTCCACGGGAAGCTGACAGCAAGTGTACAACTTTACTTAACATATTCATATTAATATGCAAGGAACAATTACGTTATGAGATGTGTGTAACATCTATTTGGCAGTCCGATTATAATGCGGTCCCTATCTTTAACAAATTGTAATTAATTTAGTTAAGACGGTTGGATACGTGGCCTAAATAAATATGAGGAATGACAAGTAAACAAAAGCTGTAATAAGGGTCTTAATAGGCAAACAAAGACCCTTTTACGTCAACAAACATGCGTTTATTTAGAATGTTAGCAAGATTTCAACATTACTATATAGAGATAAAGAGATCACTGAGCTAATTATAAAGAAACTATGTGAAGAGAAAATTAAATGTATCCCATGTTTGGAACATAGAAAAAAATTGAAGCGAACGAAGCTGACAGTCATTTCCCGTCGTATATCTTTTTCTTTTGCCCTCGGAAATCGCAACATCTGCTACACTCGAGGAAAACATATGTAGATAAATATTTCATACATTATTTTCTAATATTATCACAAGTATCTCATACAATACGCGAGCATTAAGTTCATGTTTATTATATTAAATTAAACTCACAATGCTTTGTTCGTTTTCAAAATTATTTATTCATAATTTTTGAACATTGTCCAGAACTGCGATAAATTTAAACATCACTGCCTCTGTTTATGGTCTCTTTGAATGGAACAATACAATATACACCAACAACTTAGAAATTATATTCAAAGGCTGAATCAACTCACATTCAAATAATATTAAAATTTCAACATCAGATAAAACTTTTATATATGAATTCGGTTACTTTATGAAACATCACAGCATATCGAACAGTGGTTTTCATCAAAATTTCCATTTACGTATTAAGTACCTGATTAATGTGTGAGTGATCTCTGGACAGCGTAACGATCATAATATCGGACCAAATCGATACAGTACTTTCGGAGCTGTTTACATAAAGCAACCTTAATGTAAACTTTCTAAATATGAATACACTAATATTTAACTTATGAAATTTATCAATTTATAGTTATAGAGAGGATGCTTGTCTTGTAAGAAATGGTTTTATTACAGTGCATGAACCAAACCTAAAATTTATCAACAAAGGGACGTAAATTAATCGTAATTAATGTATTTTTACAAATTTTAAAAGGTAAATTAAACAACTTTAAAGAAGTGACATTTCAAATTTAAACGCATTATTTTAGTGGACTTTTAATGTAAAGATTAAAAAACGACTTCCTAAAAGAGTATTAAAATAGTTACTACAGCTTATGCAACCCTAAATTCACATTATATGACATAAAACATTTTACAGGACGCTAAATTAAATGTATAGAGCAAACCCGGTTGTTAATTAGTCTACGGAATTTTTTGTTCACTCAGATTGTCTACACAGGAAACAGGCAAATGGCTTTAAATTAAATTTCATGTTGATGTAAGAAATAAGACGTGTCAAAGGAAGAATATTAATAAAACATAATAAAGTGAGGGATACAAAAATGACGAAAAGAAAATATAAAACAATTTCCACTCAGTCAGGATCACTTTGGATTACAAGAGATACTTATTTAAATTCAGCTAAGTAATAACATCGTTTCCTCCTACGAAAAGACGTGGTTGTTTTTTCGTGTTTTCAGATTACATCCATCATAAACAGTCATTGTCCTGCAAAACTAAGTGGGCGTGTATTAAGACATTATCTTTTTCAAACATTTTAGACGATCACCAATCTTATTGATGATGTAAGAGTGTTCCTCGAACTAACTTGTTGCGAGGGGCCATTGTCTGTCTTATAGATACTTTCCTACACAAAACGACTTTGCCAACAGCCGTCAGAGATAGATAGCCCCTAGCAGTGACAAATAGTATGCCGTTGCACGCTCTTCTTAAAAACTTTAAGGATCGAGTTTTAGAAAACAAGTCTTTTGCTTACGCTTACGCTTTGTCATAGAATATCGTAATCTGACATTATTTCTTCGAAAATTTATTTTATCCAAGAATTTCAGCTAAAATATAGAACACCTACATTCTTTGTAACAATTGTATTCACAAAAGATATTGGCTACGCTCACGACTTTCATTTGTCCAATGGTGCGGCGGTGCGGTAATTTTGTATGGCCTCGCATTTCACCGTTGATATGTGTCCCCCGGGCCCCAGGGGCCTGATGTAGACGAGATTAGATGCAAACGATGCCTCGCCGCTGATGGCTCATTTACCTCTTGAATAAGGCATTGATATTATACCTCTCCCACCGAACCTAAATATCAACGACTCGCCACGGAAAAGCGCTTTTATATAACCGTCAAGATCTTTTGTTAACATTTTCGTGTTTTAAATACTTATTAGGTCAAATAAAACTTTATTTTAACCTATAAAAGTAATAATGTTTTGTTTTGTAAGAAGATTAATACAAAACAGATGTATTGGAAAAAACTTTTCGTCATTAAAAAGGAACATGAATACTTTTAATGAGCTTGAACATTTTTTAGTTAAATTTAAATCCCTCTTGTTTCATATCGTAAATTTAATTTATTAATTAATTATAGGCAAAATAAATTTAGTTGTAGATGTAAGTCTAAATCAGGGTGATATATAATTAGCTGCCAATGAAAGTTTCAAAGAGACGAAAAACATCAATTCTGTCTCTGTTTAAAATAAATAGAAACTTAAAAAAAAAATAGAGTGAAATTAATATTTTTTAATCTTCTATAAAACGCACTCTTAAATTTTAATATCTTTTTTGGCGGCACCCAATCATGCAATCATAGACAAAAGGCCCAGGAAGTTATTTCGACATGATTTGCTTCTTAAGAACCCGGTCAAGTGTAAGTTAGAGTCGAACATTAAAGGTTCCGTAAATATTTCTTAGGGCCTCTCTTGTTTATTTGATAATTTCTAGTATATATATTTTTGCCATATAATCTCGAAATTAAGATATGAGTTTTTCCTCTCCTCATGTGAGAATATTTCTGTTAATTTCAAATATGTATGTCACTTTTATATTTTAACGTTATATCAATTTTAAATAAGATATTTTTATTAAATCATTACAAAAGTATAATTAAATTAAAGTCTCTTTAATCTGTTTTCTTTATCGAATAATAAAAAGGGATTCCATTTAACTTAGGTTTGCCTAAGTAACTGTTCCTCTCCATAGCTCACAATGAAATATAGCGTTAACAATGGTCGTGCCTGCGATTGCCGGATGAATGCTCCAGACTCAATACTCGATAGTTGTTCGGACAATGGAGCCAATTGCGTCAATTGTTAAATCGACAACCCAGTTTTTTTTATATTTACATGCGTAAGTCATTTCTATAAAACGATAAAATCAAAATCTAATCAATAATTAATATAAAATAGTTACATACATCAAGATAAGAAAAATATTTTTAACTAATATTGATTTAGATCAACATGGTTCAAGTTTTATATTGACGGGATAGTTTTACCGGTGTAATTGGGGTTTTTAATTTTTAGGCAGCGCCTCCGGCTGTGAGTCAACGTCCCATTGGACCGATTTTGTTCATTTCCATTGCGTGTGCGGCACAATTATGACACGGAATGTTGAACAGATTGTTACATTGTTTTTTTGTAAGGTACAAAGAGCTTAATAACAAAATAGTACTTCGCTAGACTTAATAACTTTAGCTTTAATTTTGTTCTCGATTTAAACTCGTTTTTAGTTTGAAACATGTCAGTGTTGAAATTCATGTATGTATATGAATAGAATATATAAAAATTTTGTTTTAATTTAAATGTATATTTTAATGCATCAAATATGTAGTTGGAGTTACAGACTGGTACGAAATACCTAACTAGCTAACTACACAAAGCAAAGGCAATCAAAGCTACAAAGAAAACATTATTGCGGGACCAACTCAAGTACAGCAAAACAAAAGTGCTAAATCAAAACTAGCCGCGGAGTGCCATTGCACTTTCAGTTTGATTTGTCAAACATATTGCTCAGAAAAAATATTTTATAAAATTCCGAGTTTGTAAAAGTTATGTATAAACTAGAAAAAATTATGACAAAAAAATATGCATTTCGGGCATATAATACTTTAAAACTTTATCAAATAAATTCCCCTGTAAGAGTTTAAAATATTTTGCTGAATAGGGTTGTACCAAATAAATATAAAGGGTTTACATAAAACAAATTTTATAATAGCCCCGGCAACGATAATGACAGCAAATTATTTTGTCGAATAAACCCTTTTATATAACTGCTCATACTATACATACCATATAAATTACAAAAAAGTTTTATTTAATAGCCTCCTTTGGAGAAGCATTTCTATCTATTGGCAAAGTGCATTTTCTTGTTGTAACTTTTTACTAACTTTGTTGTCGTAACTTCTTATTGAAAAATGGCTTGTGCTACACTCTCGCAATTTTTCAGCTAATATACTCTTTGCTCATATAAAATAAATTTAATGTCTACATACATAGTATTTATATGTTACAGCATGATTTTTAATATACAAATTCTTTACAAGCCTTCAGAGGCACTTTACTTAGCCAGAGAATGAACCCTTATGAAACATTGTGTAATTTGGAATCTCACTATTGTTCACATAATCCTATTTAAAACTTATTACGAAATTTTAATGTACCATTGTAATTTAATTAAATTTTCACAAATTGAAGCACTTCTATTTACTATTGTGAAGAACTTTTTTTATTATACCATATGGTTTTAAATTGTGTACATTTTATACAAAAGACACTCTGTATTTTTATTGCAAAGAAATAGAACAATGAAAGTATTACTTACACTGTAATACATATGCTGCGAGTTCGGCGGCAAGTTCGAAGTTGACTGGAAGACGACCTCGTAATACGTCTTGTTTCAGCTGCAAGAATAACTGGTACCTGAACAAATGGAAGCCTTATTAAATATATTTATTCTATAGAATCATTGCAACTCAACGTAAAATATAATCGCTTTGAATATGAACCCTTTATGCCGTTTGTATGAAACTGTCTGAATATTTAATAATTTGCCGAGTTTCTTTATAATTTTTCCCTAAGCGACGAAGTAAGATAAGTAAAAGCGTTATAGGGAGCGTAGCCCTTAAAGGAAATTAAATATTAAAAGACCATCACAGTAAAGATTTTCAAAGATATTACGAGTATAAATCGGGGGATTTAGGGGAGGGTGGACAGTTTACGTTGTCACGTCATAAGAGACGGGTGTCACGGGGATTCGCTACGACAATGTTATAAAGAAATTTTAATAAATCTCGCTATCCCCAAGATCAGATGTCCCTGTAAAAATTAAACATTCCTAAAATACTTCAAGTTAAGTTTCTACTGACAAATTAATAGTATAGAAGATTGGTTCCGCACTTAATTTATTTGTAAAGATATGAGAGCATCTAATTATTTTTAATGAAAGCATCTGCGACTCTCATTATTCACATATAGCAGAGCTGTAAGTGGTGTAATGCTATTACCGTGGTAAATCCATTCAGAACTTCATAGCTAGCCTGTTTACGACCTCAGTAGGTTTACTGCGAGTGTACTAGACCTCTTTTGTTCCCCTACTCTAAGTTTCCTTCTGAACATCAAAATTTACACTGTAATAAAACCAAGTAACATTTTAATGCATAGTGCTATACAATACATATATCTATTGCTTGTTACTTATAATATAACGTTTTGAAGTGATGCAAAATAATGAAGCTGTCTCGATTCATTCCTTCAACTGTCGTTCCATGAAACCACTCAAAATAAAAAATAAAAAGGTCAGTGTCATTAAAATATTTTTTACAATGAGAAGTCAAAATAATAACATATTTTTAATACAAAAGGTTCGACTTGCTCTTTTACTTACATAATGCAAAGATTGTACACCGCTATTAAAATTTTCCTAAGACTATTGACAGTAAAGTAAAAAAAAATCTAGAAATATCTGTGAATGCAAAGAACGACGTACTTTCAATCGTATACCGATTTTAACAAGTGACTTTACTTTTTAATAAGGATCTGTAACTCAAAAAAAATCGCTTCGTGCTTTTCAAAAGGGGAAAATCCTTTGTGATGGAATAGGATTGTGTCCAAGTTTTGCGAGACGTTCCTTTCTACTGAGGAAGTCTCCGTCTGTAGGGACCGATAATCTTAACTGACATCATTATTCTGCAACATTTTTTAGCGTTATATAAACGTCTCAATAAACATGATTATGATTAGATAGTCTCTTTTTATAAAAAGAAATTTTAAATAATGAAGGCAATATCGTGACAAAATCAATATCTTCGACTATATCGCAAATATAGTTCAATTAATTATTATCAATAAGAAAAAGAAATGTTGATTGTATTTCAAAATGCTCCACCAAAATTGAGATTGTTTATAACAAACAATATAGACTTTATCACTGGCGACATCTGAATGTTACTCTGACGGCGACAGACAATATATTTTATATAAATAGTTGGTAACGTAAGTAAAACAATTTCTAGAACGTTGTGGCGCTGACACAACCCTTGGGATGTATGTGAGCACAGATGTTTTTTATTGTATCTTACATTCGCACTTTGGACGTAATATCATTCTGCTGACATGACCTCTTTACTGTTTTTTGTCGAAACAAATATACATGTCAGTATATGTATAATAATTATTAGATTATTATATATAACTAGTTTTTGTCCGCAACTTCGTCCGCGTTTACTTTAAAATTGGGTATAGAAAAAGATACATAAAGTGTGTTACAACTATAGATAGATATGGTTATGTACAGGTAGCGACATCTATATCTTGTATCACATGACTTGTACTATAAAATAATACATCGTAATCCAATGAAAACACTAAATAAACAGAGTTCAGGCATAATTTATACCTTATTATGTAAGCTACATTCCAGTAAAGTTTAATCAAAATCATGTCCGTATTTATATGTAAAAGAAACATAAAATATCAATACAATCCCACAAACTATGCGATTCATAATATTACTAAGATTTTGTCTTTTTTTTCCTAATTTTTGGAATACTTTTTATATGATCAATAAATTCGACAGGTATAGTATATGAACCTAATACATTACTCATTTAAGACATGTTACTTTATGGGTTCTAGTCAAAATAAAATCATTAATAATATTAACCTCAAGTACTAAATGAAAATATTGAAAGATAAAACTATGATCTTACTCGTAATTGAAAAGTAGTATCAAATATACAAAATAGAAAATATAAACCGACAGACGAAAATGAAACTGATTTAGATAAGAGGGATTGATGATAGTAATTAAACATATTTATATTATTATTTCTTAAATAATCCAGACTTTAAACGGAAGGCTTCAGAAGGTTTTAATGAAAAATTAGAAAAAAATAAACACGAAATATTAAATAAACAGTTACTTAGTCTCCGAAATAGCTTTTCTAAACATGATTTTTATTCATTTATTCATAACATAAATAATTACAAAGCACAAGTTCATAAAAATACATTTAAAAGTTTCCAAGAAGTTAGGGTAAACTTGTCATCGTTACTTTGATATTCTATTTTTCAACACTTAATTAAAACACTATTGAAACTTTCAAAGTGAAAGGACCGTATATATAAAATAAAGCTAAAATAAAATTATTTTATCAGAGATCATGATAACAGATTTTTCTCACATTACTTATACAATTATTAATACAAACGTACCGAGTAATTTCCTCCAAGAGTTTGCAGGGATCGGAGGCGTAGAACTTGACGCCAAAGTAGAAAGTGTGCGTGTCGGAGCCACGCAATTGGCGGCGAAGTCGTTTTCCAGCATCAAGCCAGTGCTGTTAACAAAAGAAGGTTAGTTTAACATGACCAACAAAAACTAATGCATTTTATTTCGTTTTGAAAATACCTTATATGGGATGAAATTGGAATGGGTTGAAATTTGTCTTGGGGTTAAAGGACAACATTGTATTGAATGTTTTATCTTTATATATACACAAGATATTTTCAGGTAACATAACTGTTTCAAGTGCATGTTGTTATTTAGTTTAATATTTGGTGCTGCAAAACCATTTATAATTGCAGTTGTACTAGATAAAATATGATGATAGTTATATTTCAAACTAGAAACCAAAGGGCCATATTGAAAAGTATGACGCAAAATATGAATTGAATTACATTTCTCATAGAATAAATATCTCAGTTTGGGACTTTCCAAAATTAACATACATATACATAAATAGAAAACTATTTTCAAACACCTTAAGAAAAATACAAACAAGTAATCAACTTAAATTAAAAACGTAAAACAAAATATTCCGTAACCAACATCTTAGACAAAGGTTATTTTAATAAAAAAATATTATACAACTACTTAATAACTTTTTTATGCGTCATCTCACTTCATGTATATCCTGTTCAGCAAGTAGCTGTTTTATCGGACTTAAATATGTATAATTAAACGCTTTTAAGGTAACTACTTGTTTTAACACCTATACTATAATTACTTCAACTTCGATTCACTACAAATAGAAGCCATAAAATCACACAACAAACGCCGATTTAATAAGAACCTAAAGAAATTATGGCAAGGATGTAGTAGTTCTTTAACGAAATAAATCTATTTAACACCCTACAATAAATTAGATCTCTTACCGTCTGGTTGTCTGGATCTACGTATCGAAGCCCGAAGTATGCCGTTTCCAGCAAATCTAGATGCCTGAATACAACATCCAGAAGCGCTTGTCCCGTGTTATTGTCCTGTGAATAAAATGCAAAATTATCATTAAAAAACACTATGGAAGTAATACTTAAATTTAGATTCAAAAAGAAAATGTAGAATTAAAAATTCACCGTTCACTTTCATTCTACAATTTTAAAACAAATCTTAAAAAGTAACACAAAATCTGCGCGTTTGAGCGTCTGTTAAAAGATTTTTTCAGAAGCGTGAAATATGAAATATATTCTGTTTTACTACTTTTTAATCAACAGAATCTCAAAATGCGGCCGTTTATAGACTGTTTATTACGCATACGTTAATATCGCTTAGAGAAATGAAACACAGGAAACATCTCATAGACTCATCAAAGGCAAGAAACAATGTCATGTAGTACAAATTAGGGGTTAATTTCGTAGACGTAAACGTAAATGTGTATATTATTACATCACAGTATAATAACCCTCTGGCGGTCATACAAAGACGCTTGGGGAGTGAATAATTCCAACGGAAAAGATAAATTTGCTACTCAGTACACTTTACCAAGAAAATGTTAGTCACCTTTCATTTACTCGATATTTTTATGCAATAAGCTTCTTGTCAACAACATATTATTTAAATGAAACTAATATTTTTCGGATTACTACGCGTACCTTCTTCGTCTTGAGGTTTTCCAACCAGCGTATTTTGTTGGCGATTTCCAGTCCATACTGGTTCACATAATGAGACTTTAGCGAGTATTCATTTAAATAAATACTCGCAAAAGTCTAAGATCGCAATAACATATTTTCAATTAACAGTAGGTAGTATATAATGAACCTTTAGGATAAAACGCTTTCAGAATGTCAGAAAGTCATAGGTATAAAAATCTGTCATTTTCCCAACTAAGAATTAACGCCATCATAATTACAGTCATACGAGCATTTCTCTCCTAAGAATTAAAGTGGCGACGTAATTACGGTTCCTGTATTTCAATAGTGTAGGTGTCTAATATTACACTGAATTGACCACTTACACGCTAAAATTCTTGCTTAATAAACAAAAGTGTTTTTGAAATTCCTTCTTTCTTAATTTTTTCTACTTCATTATAGCTGGTCGCTCCTATTGACTTTAACAATTTCATCAAGGATGGTGAGTGGTCCCTTGAGGATCTATACTTGCATTTGGGTAATTAAGAAGTTCTCAGGAAGTTATACCATTCCCAATTTTTTTCTAAAAATCCCAATCTCAACTTAGGACATCATTGACTTAATAATGTCGGGAGAAGTGAAAATGCCGTCATCCAACTTTAAATTGTTACCGCAATGTGTACGAGTTGGGCCCGACATAAAATGATATATGTGAGATTCTCACGATTCGATCTTTCCAGCGGAGGGATTGTCGTTGCAAAGTGCATGATAACTAATCTATAGGATAAGAGAAGTGAGAAATGAGAATTTCCTATCCGTGTCATCGAAAGCATACAAAAGCTACGCTTTCTTGACTATGATTTAAGGCACCTTTCATTCTTAATGAACCTCTAGTTTGGGGACAGAGTTCGCAGCAACACTATGGGACAGCTTGGTGAATCGAGTTATGTGTGTCACTTGCCGTAGGACTTTTTTAGTCGGCGGAGGGACAGTCTCCATAGACTGGTACAGTCTAGGTTCGGATCCCCTACGGGCCAAGGGGCGGCCAGCGGTGAAACCGATTCATCGGAGCTCCCTGGAACCCATACCAATGAAACATGCTCAACACATCAAATAGGACTTGGGCTAAAGCAAAAATAAAGGTCACAACACATATCAACATCCCGGGAGAAAGAAAGTCAGCTCAAGTTTGAACTGTTGTAAATGAATCACAGCTATGGTCTGAATCTATCTAACCAAATTCAACTGAAGGGTTACTTTCTTCAAGACGCTTTATTCGAACCAGTCGCCTGCATGCATTCATAAGTTAGATTCAATGTAATTATATGTTTTACACTTACAGTTATTATTTTTAAATTATTATGAAAGTTTAAAAGGAACTAAAAAATCATATTCCCGTCGATATCCCACGGCAATTTACTGTAAGCAATTAGAATTTCTCGATACCAAGCTTTCCACGATCAAGCTAATTCGCACGCAATACTTGTAAGACCAGTAGTCGATGATGTGGTATTGGCAATATAATGACAGGGTTAACTGACACAGGATTCTGCATGAGATGCGTGAGACTTTGAAGATTTAATGATTAGACCTTGATTTTGGTAGTTATTTAAATTGGACATGTTTAGTTATCGAATTATGCAAAATTTGTTATTTATATATGTATACATATATTTAATATAGTTTTTTCACTTTATACGTTTCTTTGTGCTTAAAGACCGCTTTACACAAAAGAATCCAAAATATTTATATTAATAAACTCTTTTGGGTAAACAAAACAATAGTAAAATAAATTGATTTATTGTTTTTCATTATATATACACACAAATATAAATTTCTTCAATAAAATGTAATGCATTCACAAATTGTACAAATAAAATGTATACACCGTATAACTGCAATCAATTAGAAATGCCAAAACTAATTAAATTTCGGTACGATTCACTGAATGTATAAATTTTCATGTATCAATAAAACTGTTTTTGTTAATTTGAAATCATCAACAGCAGGTAACTGAATGTAATGTAAATAACAAAAACAGATAACATGGCTACATCATGTTATGGAGTATGCAAGTTTGTGGGAATTGCGAAACAGTTCGTCGAGCTGAATAATAAATGATTTAATAACAGAGCCCGTTTGCTCCCAGCGAGTTTGTTCGTTTCAAAAAAATAAGAAATGTTTTGAAAATCTGACAGCAATCGCAATGGGTACGCGTGCACACTATACGAACATTTGCCGGCTATCGCTATTCGCCTCCGAATGCAATACAAACAGTAAGCAATGGTGATATTTAATTTTCAATCTTTTTGCGGCACAATACACGTTCATTATATTTAGTAACGCATGTGTCGTTGAGCACCAAATAAATGACATTCAATTAAGTTATCTTTCAATTGCTCTGTAATTTTCATAATGGCGTACAATTTGAACAATGAGTCTAATTGTTTGTGTGCATTTAATGCCCATAATTATTTTTAGTAATATGAATGGTTACTTCCTTTTAGAAAAGAATTATATCATAAAAACCTCCCCATCGTAAATTCCTTCCACCCTAAGAATGAACAATGCACAGAACAGTAACTTTTTCCGGTTACGTTTCAAAAGCTATTCATTAAACTATTGTTTTAAGGAATTGCCTGAGAATAGAAGGTTCGGAAAACTGAATGGCATGATGACCGTGCAACAGGCATTAAAGACACTATCAATAAAGTAGAACTAAGTCGGGAAATGTATCTAAGTTACAGAGCGTGAAACGCCTTCTACAATGTCGACTCAATTTACTGCGACAATATTCTTTACTACGCTCCAACACTTCTTTGATCACAAATTGCTGACCAAGTCGTAATTCATTTCTTGAGTATTAAAAATTTAATTTTATTATACCAATAGTTCTAATTATTAAAAAAATAATGTCTTTATAATATTGGCTTTGACTGAAGAATCACAGACAACACTTTCTCATCGATTTAACTTTGTATCAAACTCTGTTTTATAGTCTATACATCATATACATATATCCAAAGTCATTTTTATGTGGCTAAAGCGTGAACAAAGAAATCATACTGGATATAATGTCACCAAAAACATTCACATTCCCAATTCCACGTACTGCGAGGTTAGTAATTCAATAACATTTAATTAAAAACACAAATCAAACAGCTCACAAGTAATAAAGCACTTAAATTAATTTGTTTTCAACATAGATAGGGCCCATTTAATATTTGATATTTGTCACCCAATGCAATCAATCTCGTACTTTGGTATGGAAAAGTGCTCTTTGGAACAAATAAATCTTTATTTATTAGTAATGTGGAAGAACAAAAGTTATCACCGGATCCGTTTGAGACAAATGTCCCTTTGTAGATGGGAAAACTGTAAGAAAGGACGACGATTTATTTGAAATAACCATACAATTTAGCTGAAAATGTCGAACTGTCGTCGCTTCCACTTTACCCAAATTGAACTAGCTAGTTCTAGCTTCAATGTCCCCATCTAAGGAATTTGGTTGACGAACAAGTTTCGTTTCGATTTCAAAGCAAATAAAGTGTTCGCAGTATTTTTCTCGACCCTTATGCGAATATATGATTCCTTACAAAATACAATTTAGTCCTTACCGCCTTTGAAGCTCACTTCTGACAGGAGATGTATACAACCGATGTTCAAAATATTACATCAATTTTATACAAGTTTCTCCTTTGATACGAGTAGATGTTATATATATAGAGAAATCGTAATTATATAATTCACTAGGTACCCGCTCCAACTTCGCAGGAGTCCCTTACAAAAAATATAAAATAGCCTATGTTGCGTATAATGCGTTCAGTACTACTTACTTTTTGAGTTAAATCAAGACAAACAAAAAATTCATCTTCTTTCTTCGGTAAATATTAAAATACTTTGAACTTAGAAAAACGGTATATTTTTATCTTAATAATAGTTTTTTAACGTATTAAAGCTACAAAAATTTTGTATACAGCATTAATGTCGTGATCATGTGAAAAACTGAGCTATCGTGTGAATTTAATTTTGAGAATTATTAAACTTTTGATAACTTTCAAATGGTACGTCTTAATTAAATAATTTCAAAAGTTGTTTATAGATACTAATGTCAGCTTGAAAAACTAAGTACTTTATTTTGATAGGACTTCATACCGTAATTATATAAAGAGCTTTCTTATCAAAGCTTCATGAATGCCAATTTTTAAAAGTAGGTCTATCTATGAAGTATGTAATCCTTAAGAGACAGACGTATGCCATCGCGGACTTTTCTATAGACCTATATAAAATACATAATTCCACCATACATTGTTTTGTTAAATCTCAAAGGCTTTTGGTAGCGTTTTCGTTAAAAGCTGACTGACCGCTCATTTTTTTCCGACATCTTCAACAAATAATTTTATGTGCACCCAATC